ACTCAAAATCGAATATATTGCTTACCGAACGGCGCCCTTTTGCCCGTAGTAAGTCTCAGACGCGTGAGATGTTCTGAGATATTCAAGATGGGCAGCGGGTGCCTATGAATTGATCAACGGCGCGTCAACACCTCGTGTCAAGATAATCGTACACCGCTAAAGATAGGCCAGACGTAGTGCTCGCAGGCAGCACAATAGGGAGCTGATCGGTGTCCATTGAAGCCATGATGGCGGTTAGGAGCAAGACGCGTGTACGGCGCGCGCCGGCACGTGCACGCGTTTGTTCCAATATCGTCGCGCGACGCGTCCAAAGAACGCGTCCTTCCCGCTCACCACCACGATGTCCGGCTTTGACGCTGATAGGATCTTTACCGCCAATGCGCCGACAGAGGCGCGCACTCGCGTTGAGAACGCACCAGCAGCAGTCGAAGCAGACTTGCTCGAATTTATCCTCGAGTTTCGCGTCGGCGGCCAGTTCAAGTACCGGTGCGCTACTACTCAACCGCAACTGAAGATCCATATCGTTTCTGAAAAAAACATGTCAGAGATGCTCTGCGTGGGAACTTACTTCTCAAGCACTATCAACTTGAGGTAGACTTGCGAGATATCAACATGTACAAGGAGGATCTGGCGAGCAAGATCCAGAAAGAGCCTTCAGATATTCTACCCTTGGTACGTATCGGCCGTCGTGAGACAGAAATCAGAAGCTCATATGCACGTATTCAGTTTGAGAACGCGGCGACCCGCGCTGCACGACAGATACTCTTCCCATCACTTCGTAACCGGCCGGACGACCCGACAGCGGACGACGAGGATGTGGATGAAATAGCCAAACGCGCGAAGGCGCTCCCGAAAGTCCAGATCACCGTGCAATCAGGACTCAATATGGCACCGTTCCGCGATCTTACCGCGGCCACTATGAATCAGCTCGTGCGCATACCAGGAATAGTCATCGCCGCTTCTGTGCTGTCTTCCCGCGCAACCAAGTTGCATCTTCAGTGTCGCGCGTGCCACGGCGTGAAGATCATGTACCCTTCGAGTGGTTTGGGAGGCATTGGCCAGGGTAGCGATCGTGGTTTGCCCAGGGTTTGCGAAACACCAGCGCCTGAAGGACAGAAGAAGGATTGCCCACTCGACCCGTATTTGATTGTCCACTCTAAGAGCACGTTTACGGACCATCAGGTTCTCAAGCTGCAAGAGGCTCCGGACATGGTCCCTGTCGGAGAGTTGCCACGCCACATGCTGCTCTCCGCCGACAGGTATCTCACTGGCCAGGTTGTGCCCGGCTCGCGAGTCATTGCCACCGGCATCTACTCTACGTACTCATCCGGCAAAGATGTGCGTTCTTTACATGTGCTCTTTTCCCTTCGGTGCCGCGCTGAAACAAGACTATTGACAGAAAAGTGCTGGTGCAGCCGCACTACGCTCCACGTATCTCCGTTTGGTGAACCTAGAACTTTCTTCTCCGTCTGTCGGTGGCGGTGGCGCAAATCCTTTTGGCGTTCAGTTCTCCCCTGAAGAAGAGGAGGAGTTTGGAGAGATGGCTCGCTCTGATGGATTCTACGAGAGGTTCGCGAAGAGCGTGGCGCCCAGTATCTTTGGTAGTCTTGGTGCGTTCTCGAGTCTCAGACGTACCTGGACAGTCACTCATCGGCTTTAGATATCAAGAAGGCGATTACCTGTCTTCTTTTTGGAGGTTCCAAGAAGATATTGCCGGACGGAATGCGCTTGCGAGGCGATATCAACGTCCTGCTGCTCGGTGATCCTGGTACTGCGAAGTCGCAACTGCTGAAATTCGTCGAAAAGGTAACGCAATCTACGTGTGGGGCCGGATGGGTTCGTTCTAACTACCTATAGGTTGCTCCAATAGCAGTGTATACTTCAGGCAAAGGTTCTTCCGCTGCCGGTTTGACCGCATCCGTTCAACGGGACAGCACGTCACGTGAGTTCTACCTTGAGGGAGGCGCCATGGTGCTTGCCGATACCGGCGTCGTCTGCATCGACGAGTTCGATAAGATGCGGGACGAGGACCGCGTTGCGATCCACGAAGCGATGGAGCAGCAAACGATCTCGATCGCGAAGGCTGGGATCACTACGGTGTTGAATTCCAGGACAAGTGTTCTCGCCGCCGCCAACCCCGTATGGGGTCGTTACGACGATCAGCGGAGTCCCGGAGAGAACATTGATTTCCAAACTACCATCCTTTCGCGTTTCGATATGATCTTCATCGTGAAGGACGAGCACAACGAAGCCCGCGACAAGGTACGTGTCGTCTAGTAGATTGATATGCCGATGATTCCGCCTAACCCGGCGCTCGTAGATGATCGCTAAGCATGTTATGAATATCCACATGAACCGGCCCAATGCCGAGGAGACCGTCGGGGAGATTGACCTTGACAAGATGAAACGCTACATTGCTTACTGCAAGGCGTGCGTGCTGACACCTTAAGCGCCGAGCGGCTTTAGCTGACTTACTCATGCAGGAAATGCGCGCCACGGCTATCTTCGGAGGCTAGTGAGATGCTGTCTTCGCACTTCGTCTCTCTCCGTCAGCAGGTCCAACGCGTCGAGCAAGATAACGACGAGCGGTCCTCAATTCCGATCACAGTCCGCCAATTGGAAGCTATCGTCCGCATTTCCGAGTCGCTCGCGAAGATGACACTTTCCACGACTGTTCAGAATCATCATGTCGAAGAGGCAATACGCCTGTTCAAGTTCAGTACAATGGACGCCGTCTCTGCTGGCTCGGTGGAAGGTCTTTCCCGTGGTGAACTGAATCAGGAGATCACACGGATCGAGAAGGAGATCCGGCGCCGGTTGCCTGTCGGCTGGAGTACGAGTTACCAGAGCTTGGTGAAGGAGTTCGTCAGCGGTCAAGGTTTCAGTCAGCATGCGCTCGAGCGCACTCTATTCGTACTTGAGAAGAGGGAAGTCATTCGCTTCTCAGGTCAGAAGAAGGTCGTTCACCGGTACGTGTTCCCGTTCAAATCCTGTCCAGTCTATTGAAGCTGACGCGCATTGGCAGGGTCGGCGTGTGAGGTCGTCCGACATTGTGGGCTGTTACTGTACGCTATCGTGTTGCTTTACTGTTGTTATCTCGCTGGCACTATCTGTAGAACGTATCCTGTACCACTACACTTGTTCTTCTCAGCTGTGAACGAATCATCTGTGGGGCTGTACTGGACCTTCCGATGACTCGCATGAGAACGCGTGCAGTCACAAAGTGACCACGCGCCGTCGGGGAAGCGTCGGGGGAGCCGGACACGCCAGGCCGCAACGCGTCGCGACGCGTCTCTTCTCGGACCACCACCAACGCCACACTGCTATGGACCAGAACCTCCCTATCGACGTTCTTGATTACATTCTGTCCTCTATACTCGACTTGCGCACCTTGTGCTCCACCGTGCAGGTCTCCAAGCGCTTGAACACCGTATACAAAGCCCGACAGCGCTCGTTGCGCGCGGCTGTGGCGCGCAATGAAGTCGGGCCTGCACTTCCGGCTGCCCTGAGGCTCGCACGCTATGACACTGATGCACAGATGGTCTGGCAAGACTTTAATTGGCAGGGGTTCACGGAGGACAGTGACTATGAGATTGACTGGGCGCTTGCACAAGAGCTAAGCGCTAATGCGGAGGCTATGTGCGAATTTGAGAGTCTATACAGTCAGATGTACGTCCTATCTCCGCCCGACACCGCAAGAAACTGACATCTTTTAGGTTTAAGGACTGCAGAAATAAGACTTCTCAGCTCACCGTGTCTGAATCACGCAAGTTCGCGCGCGCACTGTATCGGTTGGGGTTGTACTTCAAGCGATGGAGCAACGACTGGGAGAGCCACTTAGATGAACGCGTCTGGGATGAAGATGACGATCCGGAAGACGAAGATGACGACGGCGAAAAGCGCGAATGGGAGGAGACGGCAAAGTCTATGCGAGAAGACCAGTTGATCTTCCTGAAGTCTACTGCGTCGACAGATGAAGAGCGCCGGGAGTTGTGTGCCGCCTTCGTCTTCTTGCGCGACCATGCCTTTCCGTGGGCTTACACGACCTTTGGAACAACCTACGCCACGAACTACAGTGAGATATCATCACCTCCTCCAATGACTGCCGCTTAAGGGTAATCTCTCACAGTACCCGACAGCATCCAGTTCAATGATATGCGGGCGTTGGCCAGAGTGCTATCCCGCCGAGAGCATCACTCATATCCTGGCTCTCAACTTCCTTTCGAGAATTCTGATGTCACCGCCGAGCTTGTCCCCCCTATCGTCAATCGGCTCGGTATAGATGTTACGACCATCGAACCGACTCTCCTGCTAGATGGCCCCACGCGCAACGATCCCTGTGAGTTACTCCATGCGACAATGTAGATGACACTACCGACCTTCATGTCAGGTGATCATTGCGGAGAGTTATCCGGACAGAAGCTTTTCACCGAATCCAGTGAGTGCGCAACCAGATCCCTTGCTCAATTGGGTGGCTCATAAAACGTGAAGATTGGTACCTACTATACGGCTATATCTCACTCCGTGAGATATGCTCAACGGGCTTCAAGGGCAACTTGATGCGGAATCTGGCTGAGGCATCAAGGATCAACATTTACTTCAATGCGCAAGCATTCTCCTTGCCTGCCTTCCTAAGAGAGATCTTCGACGGTGCAGCGGCGCGAGGCGTTGCGGGCGCCGACAAGAACCTGTTACTATGTTTGAAATGCGTGCAGGGCGTCGTTGAAGCACAGGCGATGAACTGGTGGTTGGACCGCAAGCGCGCTGGTAAGTTGGTGCATGATCATCGTCCCGCCGTGAACTTCAATAACACTCGACAGAAGGTCAAACGATTGGCGATGACTGTTGGTACGGTTACGAGTGCCGTACACAAACCCACAAGGCAGGGCATGCTGGAAGACTCAATGTATGTCCCTCTTTGCATACGACGGTGGCTGCGTCTCTGAGTGTTCATCCAGCACTTCTGTTTGAACAAGGGGAAACCAGGACCACCGGCACCCACTGTACTTTTACCCTCATCGCACGTTCCGCACCCACCTGCCAACCAGCCACCGTTACCTTGAGCGTCACATATCTGCGGGTGGGCATCGCCTACATGGACTGTAAGACGTCCTACGACGCCACTCGGAGGTGATTCGATGATGTTACGGACATGAACATTACTCGTTTCTATTGTTGAACTATGGGCGTCGTAGTGTAGCAGAGTTAGAAACTTCATGTAGAACACATCAGATTTGACTCTAGTACAGGCCCTGCACAACGTCCTGTGGTAATAGCCCGTAGCACCGAGGGCGTCGGAGGTACAGTAAACACGGGAACGCACTCGGTGTTGGTCCGTGGCTCTAAGCACATACAGCTGCATAGCACCACTTTGGATGGACGTGCGTGGCTGCGAAAGGCCGGTGAAGGACATCCTGACGAGGTACCGGAGAATCTTGATCACTCAGGTGGAGGAAGATGGATGACGCAGAGCGCCTCGGGAAGGAGATAATAAAGGGCATCGATCGCCATAGCCTCACAGATCGCAGGTACTACAAAGCCAGTTCGTGCATGAGAAGCCTGTAGGGAGAGACAGCTCCTTAAATATCGTCAAGATGGTGAAGGTTCGAGATAACTTATTCAAACTCGGCACGTGCGCGTTGCGCAACCCACGCGCCGGCCCGGGCCTCGCGCCGCACGCGTGTATGTTGTTCGGCTTGGTCTTCAGGCCTCAGCTTCAGGTTGGATCGCTACCACCACTACGAACCCGATCACCTCACGTCGTCTAAAGGCGCGATACAGAGATTCAGTCTGACGCCTGAGTACATCGACTCGAAGTTTGAGCTCAAGATGACAGACACAATTATCCCCAATGTCGACGGCGCCGCTACTCTCAGGTTGGTAGTCTACATCGTGAACAGTCTTGTCATCAGATGCTGAATGATACAAGCTCGGGCGTAGCGTACTGGAGCAATGCAGCGAATGCTCGACTACCCTTGCTACCGCAGTCGGACGCCTCCTTGACGGAAGAAGCCTTTGAATTGGCGTACGACGCGGAAGTTGCGGCCGTCTACGCGGCCCTGGATGTTTTGCAAGCTTACCGCGACGTACAACGAGCTGGGATAACGGAACAGCATAATGCACGGCTGGATACTACGACTGTCTTCCCTCCTGAGATCCTTAGCCATGTGCTGTCATACCTACCCCAGCCTTACACAGACTCTTCCCAATACGTCCCTCGGGAACATCTTTCATGGATGTCTGCAGCCCACGTCTGTCGTCGCTGGAGGGCAATTGCACTTAGCAATCAATCCCTCTGGAGTAGGTTGCACTTGATGATGCCGGACGACGTCTGGTCGACGTTCATGGAACGCGCAGGCGGTGCGTCTCTGGTCATCCAAGGGAGATGGAGATTTGCTTCCCCTTTGCGGCGTCAAGACATTTATGAACGCCTGGAAAGGGTCGAAGAATTGGATTTACGCGTGCCCGAAATAGAAGAATTGGCCGACCTCTTCTTAGCCGGGACCGCCGCTTGCCTTCGCAGCTTCATAGTGCATACCAGCCCAACGCCACGCATAGATCCCTCGCTCAGCCACTTTCTCCTCTCTTGCGCTCCCGCTTTACGGCACCTCAACTTGTACGGAGTGCACTTTCCTTGGGGATGCACCATACCGACGGTCAATTCACTCCGTTTATATGACCCTACCCTCCCCGGTGACCCCATCCCGTCTTTCGCGCAGGTCGTGCAGACATTGACTTCTACCAACCTCGAAGAGCTTGTATTGACGGGCTCGCAACTCTTCTCACTTTCATCGGAAGTCCCTCCGCCGGTTCCGATCAAGCTTGGATCCTTGACATTGAAGTGTCATGCTCAGCAGGCCGTCATCCTACTTCGAACTTTCATCTTATCACCTACCTGCTCCATCGACGTATACGTGCGCTCAGATCAAAGACCTGTGGTCACCGAGGTCATGGACGACGATACATCGGACACTGCTCTTATCGCTTCCACTATCCGAGATCACCTCTCAAGAGCCGATGCGCCACGTTATAAAGCATTGCAGTTACAATGTTACTCTCGATGCGCCGAACTCAAATTGGACCACGCCGACCCTGTCGTCACACCTGGAAGTATCAATGGTGTGCGTATTGAAATATCAGTACCAGGGAGCCGCATCGACAAGAGCTCGTGCCGCGCGAAGATACTGAAGCTAACGCGCGCGGTTCCGGTCGGGCTTCTGAAGGGCCTGCAACACCTCACTCTCTCCTCTGGTATTCACTGGTCCCGCGAAGACACCTATCGGCTCTTACATCATACCACGAACGTCGAACGACTGACGTTCTATTCGGAGGCACACGGCGGCAACGCGGCCGGTCTTCTCTATAATATCATATCGCCGTCGAGACCCTCCTCGAATGTTACGAACGCCGAATCGCCTACCCACTTGCTTCCCGCTCTCAAGGAGCTGTACCTTCATAAAGTCAACTTCAACAACAGTGTACGATGCAATGATAAGGACGTGCCACTCACGGAGGCGTTATTGGATGTCCTTAAGAGTCGACGCGACGTCGGATGCAGAGTGCAGGTCTTACGCCTTGGGGAGTGCCGCAGTGTCTTAGATAACGATCTGTACCGATTCAGTCGGTGGGTGGCGGATGTGATGGTGGTGTAGACGATGCCGTAGCAACGTATAACCTCGCTGCACGGTGGCATGTTCAGGATATGACTTTGTGTACCATATCATGAGCGATGATTTTCTGAACATATTTTTCATTGCTATGCGCTTACGATAGGCAAATGTACGCAGTCCAATGGCATGAGACTAGGAGTCTAGGAGGCAACACCAACAGAAATCAAAATGACCACTACCAAAACGAAACATACCACAATGCAAGGTCCTGCCAGGACTCGAACCTGGGTTAGCGGAAGGCTCTGCTAATCAGAATCCGCTGTGATAACCACTACACTACAGGACCAGTGACCTGAAGTCACTGTGAACGTGCTATAAAGCGTGTTCAATACATGTATAGGGCATTCGCCCCAACCGAAGTTCACTGCCTTCGATGGGGTCGGGAAGGCATACAGCGAGCGGCACTCTACCCATCACACCGACCATGCAGGCACCCGGTTAGCACAATAGGCTCCTTCTGACTCTCAAGATACTGATGAAACGCGGAAATATAGAACCCCGGACGACCACTGCGTTGCTCTCCCGCGGACTTCACCGTCTGCGCACGACCGCTCCCCGCATCATCGCATCGCCGCCTACGCGTACGTCGAATTACGCGAACGGTCCTGTATACTATCTCTTACCCTAGAAATAATATAGAACCGCGGCGGGCAGCAGTTGCACTTATCCTTCGGGTTGTACCACCTCCGAATTTCCCACTCCCGCCTGCACCTTCTGGCGACAGCAAGCCATCGCTTCCTGAATTCTTTGCACAAGACTGGGTGTCACATCCGAACGCACGACCGGAGATCCTCTTCTTGCATCGCGAAAACGCTGGAACTGCACCTGCTACCGATCCGAATGTCACCAGCGACGCGGCGGTTGCGTTTCCCGGCGGGCGGATGGAGGCCGACGACGAGGACGGCTTGTTCACTGCAATGAGGCATACATGGGAGGAGATTGGCATTGATCTGGCCGAAACCGATTATATGTCTATCGGACAGCTCGACGACCGCGAGATTACGACTTCACTCGGGAAACGTATGTGTTCTTCGTTAATCCTGTCTCTGTGAGATATTCATGGCGTTCATAGGTCTCCTCATGATTCTCTCACCATTCGTATTCTTGCAATTGTCACCATATACCCGTCCTGTGGACCCGGTACCACAGACTAGCCTACACTGGGTCCCTCTGACCGCGTTGTTCCCCGCGCCAGCACTTGTCGTCGCTCAACCCACTCCTGCGCCGCGCTGGAGCACCGTGAGCATTGACGCTGCATCGCGTCTGGCGCCACGGCACTCGACAGCTTTGCGCCTTCTCATGCGTGTATTGGTGGGAAGCATGCAGTTCCCGGCCCTCGTACTGCCTCCACCACCACCATTCCTGACATTGGATGAGAAGCATGCCGGCGGTGGTGCGTTGGAAGCAGGCACAGGCCGACGGGAACGCCCAAGGAAGCTGTGGGGCTTGACTCTGGGGATGACGCTCGACTTGTTATCATATACGGCGCCTACGCCGCTTACGCCGTGGGACGCGGATGAGCTTATGGGCGTCACTGGTATTGAACCTGTCGACGGCCGGGGCAGGCGGGGTCGTGTCGATGCGCCTCCAAGCCTGACAAGCGTCTTCCCGCGCTTCTCGTACCCGGATGTGAACTTCTGGATCTGGTATGTCCCGAAGTCATCTGACCGCGTAGCATGCTCGACTGACAGCTATCTTCCTTCTTCGTGTAGGGTTTTCGGTAAAAGATACCGCGAAGTTATCCGCGGGTGGGAGACCTCGATGCGTAACGGGGGCGTGAATGATCGTAGGATCAACTGGACTGGTGCCGCGCTTACCACGTTCTATGCGGCGGTGCGCAAGGCGCTTGTTCTTGTCCTTGTCCTCCGCGCGCTTGGTCTGCTTGTTGGCGTTGCCCTCGGCATCTGGTGGGTCCTGCGCTGAAGGACTGGATCTTGTACGTGTTGGTTACCCTCCCCATCACCACTCCCCTCTTTCTCCCTGTGATATACCTTACGATGGCTCGGTTGTTGTACGAAGACGTGGACAGCATACGTTTCTTGGCGTGGACACTGGATACACTCTACATAGACTTGGATTTGACTTCTTGCACTCGCACGACACCGGGCCACACTGTATTTGTAGCGGATACTCGATACTTTCGTCACATGGATATGGAATACAATCTGGTATACAACGTTTTCTATGCAATGCCCGGGAGGGTATATGTAGGTCATCTCCGTCGTGAATTCATGTGACCGCGTTTTGGCACAGTCAACGGCATAGTGCGTGCTCGGCGTAGCACTTTTGACCTGTACGGTTGTAACGAACGTTCATCAGCTTATCGTTGGAACTGCTGTAGAACTTCAGCGTCTGCGGTATCGATATCCGATTCAATTGTACTCACGCGGATCATCAGCCTGCATCAAGTAATCCTCCACATCGCGCTCTTCGTCGCTCAGACCCTCAGCAACCGTACTCAACCGGCTGCGCACGCTCGATGTATCCGAACCGTCTTCATCACCCATTATCCGATTGCCCTCTGGAACCTGCGAGTGACCCCTCTGCAACGTTGGGTGATCTGCCTGCGGGCTGACTGCTGGAGCCGAACCGTCTCTACGAATCCCCTCGCCCTCGCCCTCGCGACCAAGTCCTCCTGTGACCGTGCTCAGTCGACCCGATGCCAGGCTCTCGTTGTCGCTCCCCCCACCAAGCGGTTCGTAGTAGTCTAGGTCGCCAGCTCCAAAGACTTCCTGGACATCGTCGTCGGTGCCGAGGATGTGAACGCTATGTATGGGCGGAACACTGCCTTCGCCCTCCCCATCCCGAGCTCTACTCTCCGCACGCGAGGGAGTGAAAGTTCCCATTCTACGCGCAGGAGATGGTGTGGAGAGGAACGCTGCCAGAGTGGTAGGCGGCGTGAGGCTCCGCAGACGTATCGTCGCCATATGCGGTGCCTCCGGGGTATACAGGGCCGCGCGGGGGGTGTATGCACGAAGCTCAGACGTCGGCGTGCGCGTGTCCGAGGAGGAAACATCTGTTGATTGTAGTTGCGGAGAGGGCTCGAGCTCGGAAGAGGAACCCGAGAATGTCCCGGAGACAGGGATGCGCGTGGGCGGGAGCGAGTAGATGGGCGACGGAGTGGCAGAGCTCGACATGGTATGAGTCCTAGTGTAATTGGACTGTGCATCGTACGAGCGAAGTATATATGAAACGCTTCAACATCGCATAAACAAGAAGGTTTCCGTATCCGGATGTAGATGACGGGTGGTTCGTTTTGATCGAGAGCCCTTGTTCTTCAATCGTTGTTCTTAACCTTGTTTGTTGGAGGCGCTGGGAGTGTACAGTTGGACCATGCGTCTTCTGCGTGTTTGGGCCTTGTTGAGAACAATACTGTGGCTGGCCTGGCCGGTGTATCTTTGTATACGCAGGTCTGGGCGTGTCGAAGCGAAATCATTCCACAAGCGCGTCAGGATTCATCTTACCCTCTTCAATCGATGCCATCGACTTCACGAAGCGATCCGTCAGACACGTAGAACCTTGCATGCAAGCATATCGTGATACGCGGCGAGAAGATGGTGGGACGCGGCCAAGTCGACTTCGCGCCCACGTCGTGCCCTGCCGTAGCGGCCCGGGATGCGGACCACGAGGCCGCACAGACCGATGTGAGAAATGCCCGAGGGCAAACTTGTCCTCGATGATCATCTCCTCGAGTTGTCGTAGTCTTTTTTGATTTACAAGTTGCACCATGTCGCACTTCGCCATCATCTGCCAGCAGCGCAATGCTGAGCTCCCTATATCGCGTTTGCCTCCGGAGATTCTATGCTCTGTCTTCCACATACTACAAGAACTGGAGCCGATCTTCCCGTCCGACCTGTCTTTCTACCCTACTATTCTTACGGGTGGACTGTCGGGGTGTCTCGCTTGGATGAAAATCCTGCACGTCATGCACTCCTGGAGGACTACCGCACTGGGGGACGCCACGCTTTGGACGGCAGTCTCATCGTCTCTCAGTCGCGAGGCTTTCGAGGAGACAATGCGTAGGCGCCGCGACTCCGACGCGCCTTTACATGTAGACCTGAGCACGTCTCTCGAAGGCGCCCGATGGGGGAACGTCACGCCCCGTGATTACATCGTTCATCGGACGGGGCTAGAGTCCATCACCTCACTACAAGTCATCGGGCGCTCCCTTCCTTTGCTGCAGCCACGCGTGCAGATGGCAAAGCTGCAATCGCTCAGCGTACATCTCACCAGTGACGGCCCTGCTACACTCCCGCGTGAGCTTCCCCTCATCGAAGCACCCGCCCTGCGACGACTTTACATACACAATGTGATTCCATGCGAGCACTCCGGCACTTCTACCCGTCCTTTGGACGTTGCGCCTCTCAACAACCTCACCCACCTCACTCTATCCATGCATCCAGACAAACTCGACTGAAACCTCGTACAGGTTCTTAACATCTTATCGCAGACTCCTCGATTGGAGTATCTCAAACTTGTGGGATACATTCTCATCGTCAATGACGACGACATGGACGCGAACAGCGGCGCTTACGAATCTATCCATCTTGATCGGCTGGTTCACTTCGAGATGGACACGTACTTGGTTGGAGCGGCACTCCTATTGTGGAGACTCCGCATGCATCCCGAAGCTAGGACCACACTTACCCTCGACGCGCAGCGCCCTGTTCCTCCCGCCCACCTCGAACAAGCATGCCTTATCATGCGCAAACGCCACGCGGCACCTCATAACGGCTTCCAAACGATACAAGTCAGTGACTTTGTGGGGCCTAACCGCGATACCCTAGTCACTCTTTCTGCTTGGAGGGACGATGCGCCCCAGCACCTTCTACATGACTTTGACCTGGGACATGTCGAATGCCATCCTCCCGACTTCCAGATCACGTTCACGTGCGATTTGAGTTTCAGGCCCATACTTCAACTTGAGGACATCGTCAACATCGTCTCCCTCGATGGCGTTCGAAATCTGTCCTTACAGGCCGCCCCTACGTTGTATGGCCACCAGTATGCGGTGTGGGATGCTATCTTCCATGCACTCCCCCAGTTTAATTTGACGTGGTTACGCCTCGATGGTTATTCGGCACATGCCTTCATCGTGAACGAAGACGCATTACAAGGCCATGTTCTCCCCCGTCTCCAAACACTGACCCTCTTCGGTGTACCTTGGAAACCGCATTGGGCTGCTGGTCCAGACTACCGCCAGTCCCTGGCTCGGCTACTGAAGTCACGAGAAGCTAGTGATACACCGGTGTCTGAGCTTTTGGTGGAGGACAACGACATACATACCATGGCGCTAGTCGGAGTTCTAGGGCAAGATGTAGTCCATGTCTTAGAGCCTGTAGATGAGATGTCCGCGAGAGCGCTTGCGGCTCGCTGGAGCTAGACGCGGGGACCGTAACCATACTTGTAGTGCTTGTATGAAACTTATTTCACGATGTTGTGATGTAGGCGCATGCGCCATGGACATCAGAATACTTGTCCCCGCGTGAGAAAACACAGTAGACGCGTCCCCGGCGGACGCGTCGTAGCGCGTCACTTGTGAAGAACCATCACCACCGACGACTTCATCAACCGCCTTCGTCGCAGCCTGATAGCGCTCAATCATAGTTGCTGGCTGCTCTGCCGCCACATATAGAGTATTCTCCCCAAAGGTTGAAACCGTCTGCCCCACATCACTAGTCATAGTCGAATGTCAACACGGTCGCACTACTACTAGCCCATGACGGAACTGAACAGCGTATCCGAACACAAGACCGCTGGTCTCCTTAGTCTTCCCTCAGAGCTGATACTCGAGATATATGCTTGGGCTACCCTATGTCACTACAATGACGCGAATGCGACAGTAGGCCCTCCGCGCGGCGCCCTGCTTTCTCAAATCTGTCGACCCTTGCGAAGGCTCGCACTCTCGTCGCAGAACCTTTGGGATCATGTTCCGCGCCGAAGTAGCCCGGAACTGACAGAGCTATGCTTGTCTCGGGCATCGACGGCTCCACTGCACATGGATCTCCATTGCCATTTCGATGATAGTCAGGATTTTGCCGCGAAGAAACTGGCTCTGCCTCATCTCTCCCGAGCGAGATACCTCCGGCTCTACGTGGAGTTCAAGTTCGAGTACAAGACGGTCAACGAAGCGCTGACGCTCATATATGATGCTCTCACGTCTTCTCCGACACCTCTACTTGAAACGTTCGATGTAGAGTTCGATACCATCGACTTCGCGGACAGGAACTATTCGTGTATTTACCTGCCACAACCCCTCTTTCACGGCGCTCCCCCCACACAGCTGAATTACCTCCGGCTGCGCCAGGCAGGAATGCTCCGCTACCCTCCCCCACCGACAATGCCAATGTCCGCCTTCTCGAGCGCGGTGCGCTCGCTGAATCTACACAATAGCCATTTGTGGGGAGATGTGGACGAGATGGTCGAGTTCTTCATGACTATTCCTCTCCTCGAGAAGCTCGAGTACACCCTTGTCAGTCGTGACAATCGCCTATTTGAAGCATCGCCCTCGCGGAGACATTCGCCGCGTTGCGTGCGCATGGACCGTCTGGAGTCCTTCATCACAGGGGAGCTCAGTATATTCAATGCGTCCATGGCCGTCTTCACCTACCTCGCTATGCCCTCTCGCACTCAACTCATCTTGTACCTCGACCGTGAAGATGATTGGGGCATGGATAGCGCCACCCACGCTTACGACTCGCCCTACGTCGAACTTGGCGAACAAGCTCTGCGCGAGCATTTCGCAGCCGCCGTCGCGGCAGGCGAGTACTACGATCATCTGCACGTCGATGACGTGGCCCATACCATATCGCCGCAGTGCCCCGACGACGACGACGACGACGAATCATTACCAGACCTCCATTTACGTCTTCTTCCGCCACCGCATCGCCTATGCCTAGACATACCAGTGGTCAGAGAAGAGCTCAAGATGCAGGCCTACGGGATGTACTTGTCTCTGCCCATCTTCACGCAAGTGTCGCAGATATGTGTTACTGGACTGTGTGGTGATGAGGTCTGGGACAACCTAGAGCCCTACAAGGACGTGCAAACCCTTGTCCTCTACGGGGACGCGCTCCTGTCGCTCGTCCTGCATGACCTGCTACCGCGCGGAGGACGCCGCTTTCAGCTATTCCCAGCGCTGAGACAGATATTCATACGAAATGATGACGTGTCACTACGTCGTCTGATGCACTCTACGTCCGAGGTCATGTACGAGTATACGTTCCACACGTATCTCGTGGCCAGAAGGCAAATCGTCACGGTGTATATCGAGCGCTCGTCGTGTAAGGGTGCAGAAGAGCTTGCGGGCTGGTTGCGGGCGAGGTTCAGAAAGGAGCAGATCGTCGTGTACTCGATGCCGGAGAGTGGCTCTTCCTCGGAGGGAGATGACGGGGAAGACATGCAGGAAAGTCAGAATTAGATTACACGGAGGGAGGAGGGGTTTGTCGCCGCGTTCACCGATGTACTATATTTACCCTGTTCTGACTGTTATCTTGCATTTAGTAGAATCACAACTGAATGGTACTCTACCATCTACTCCAGGCACACTCCTGGACAGATTGCCCGAGCGTACATTTCGTTATCTGTTCCCGAACATCCTGCATGGCAATCAACTTCAACCTGTCGAGTAAGCTATGACCTCGAACAACGTCCCCCGGGCCCGACGTCCCCGCCTGGTTCCCGCTTGCCCAGACCCCTGCCATGTACTGCGCACATACGTACCTATCTCGCAGCCGACTATCCTGCACTATTGCACTCAATGTGCTCATCGCACCCATCGTCGTCCAAAACGCAATGCATTTCTCGACGTCGTCAGCCAGGTTAGTCTACGTGGGTTGGGGGTATCAATGAAGTGGCCAAACAAACGGTGGCAGATTACGAAAGGGCGCTGCTATATCGACAAAACTAACTGCTTGAAATCAAAAGGTGGGTAGAGACTGGGCATGGAGGCGTGGCTAGAACGGTCCAAAAAGGTGCGCGGGCTTGCCCGCGCGTACGAAAGGTGTTGATGAGGATGTGCGTATTAATTGTATGCAACGACTACTACCTAGCGTCGAGTCGAGTCTGTTTCTGTGTCCATCATGTCCGATATATCCTGTTTTCCAACTCAACTGCAAGCTCGCAACTCGAGCTTTACGCGAAGAGAACGATCGCGCCGAGGAGCGCAGTAGCGGCGAGAACGCCGGCCGAGCCGACGTTGCGCATCGCAGCCGAGCTGTCGCTGTTGCTGCTGCCGCCCGTCGCCTGCGCACCGGAAGCGGAGCCAGTCTTGGTACCTGAAGGCGCAGCAGTTGCGCTGAGGGGCAGCGGGTTCGAGCTGTTGTCGTTCGTCTCGATGTAGGCGTCGCCGAGCTCGAGACCCAAGCAGGTGATGATGGGCTCGATCGTGAGCTTGGGCTGGTACGCGAGCGCGTCGGGAAGGATGTAGCCGGTGGCGATTTCGACGGTCTGCTGGAACAGGTCGTGCTCGAGGACAATGAAACCGGTGTCGAACGACGAGGCGTTGGCGAGGATGTTCTCCCAGTTCTGGAGGACACCACCGACGGTCGCGGTTCCGCCGTGGACGTCGTAGTCGGCCGTGTCGAAGGTGGCGGTCTCGGAGATACGAGTCCACATGACGGGAATGAGGTTCATGGCCTTGGCGATAGCACGGACACGGTTGCTGTGAAGAAGGAAAGACTAAATGAGTACGGTTCCTCGACGAAAATGAGAAGCAGGCACGTACTCAATGTCACCGTAAGGCGGGCGCATGTAGAGGGGCGTAACACCGAGGACGTCCTTGATGACCTTCTTGGTCCAACCAAGCTCAGCGATGATCTGCTCGTTGGTGAGCGTGGTCAGGTACGGGTGCGCCCAAGTGTGAACGGCAATATCGTGACCAGCGAGGTACTCGCGCTGGAGGAGACCAGGGTACGAGAGGACACGCGAACCGACGGTGTAGAACGTTGCCGTCAGGTTCTCGGCCGCGAGGTAGTCCAGAAGGTCGGGCGTGTACGGCGCGGGGCCGTCATCGTACGTCAAACCCCAGGTGTTCTTCGTCGGGCACACCTCGACGTCAGTGCCGTTGGTGCAGCCACCGCATGTCCACCAGCAGCGAGTCTTGTCAGCTGCGGCAGCGGCGTTGGCAGCGCAACCGCCAGCGACGGTCGGCTCAATGTCGGGGATCTGAACACCCGAAGCGGCAACCTCAGCAATCCATTGCTGGACCTCGGTCGAAGAGGTGTCGGGCGTCTTGTCCAGAGCCGGATAGTTTGCGATCACGAGCGTCGAAGCTGATGGCAGAAAGGATCAGCATGTTGAACATCCAAACGGACATAACGTTGATGATGGGGCGCAAGCGCTGGGAGGCTTCTCGCTATCTTGAGACTCGCGACTGCCATTTTTGCAAGCGCTTCGAAATGTCTCGCACGCGACAGACGTGGAACAACGCCACATAACATTCAAAACAAAAAGTTGAACTTACCATCGGGGAGACCAGGTGCGTTCGAGATGTGCGAGTTCTTCGTGCCAGACGGTTGCGGCGTGGGGAGGGCCTGGGTAGCGGCCGAAGCAGCGGCCGAGTTGATGGAGGCCAAAGGAAGCGCAGAAGCACCGGTTGACAGCCAGCTGGCGGGAAGGGTCGTATCCGTATTTGCTGAGCCGGCGGCGGCGGTCGTGCCAGCCGCAGAGGCCGCGGCAGAGGTGCCGGAGGCAGCAGCGGAAGATGCCGAAGAGGCAGCGGCTGAGCCGGTGGTGGAAGCGGCCGCAGCGGCAGCCTGAACCTGGCGGGCGACGTGGTGATGGTCGGCGTGGGCGTAGGCAAATGCCGGGAGGGCGACGAGGGCGCCGGCAGCGGAGAACTTCATGGCTGGCGGTGTTGGTGGTGGACCGGGAACAAGGAGCGACGAGAGGTGAGGAAGGAGTCGAAAGAAGATGGAGGACGGGTCCAACTCTGAGAGCGTCCGCGCTTTCAGAGGCTTTCAGGCCCTGTCGTTGCCATCCCTTTACGTTTTCGGTCTTGATTCGTCCCAAATTGGAACGCACCCCCTTGCCGCATGCCGTTTAGGGTGCCTGTTCCGCCCTCGTCGCGAAGGAACCGAGGCCTGGACACCATCACGAACATTGCCGCTCGTTAGTGTTGCCGTGAGTTGAGTTCGAGTTGAGTTGAGTTCGCACAGCGCTCCCAACTCAACCCCACTCAACTCAACCCGACTCAAGTCGGGCTTGAGCCGGACTCGAGTTCGGGTGGAGCGCGCACGCGAGGCACACGGGCCTGCTACTCGCGGTGAATACGGTGGGTACTCAGGATTCGGCTGCTGAGCTCGAATATCGCGGAATTCCAAGTTGCATGGTGCCTGCCTATTGCCAATAACTTGAATAGTATCCCTTGGGATCACAAAGACACGGGCACGGCGTAGAGACGTCGTGGTATATGCCTGGCAGCCGCCCGGAGTTTGCCGGTCGCGAACTCGCCGTATCAAACGATGACGCTCAACGCTCACGCATGCCGTTGAGTCCACTCGAGCTGAGTCGAGTTGAGTTTCCACCCGGCCCCACCTGGACTCAACTCAGCTCAACTCAACGTGAGTTGGACTCAACTCGCGGCAACACTACCGCTCGTGCACGGGAAACTCGTGAAGATATTGCTCAAGCGTATACCAAGGCCACTGGGCGCAACTTGCAGCGTCGAGAGAGCGGGCGAAGCCTTGCAAGCGACCTTGGCTGGCTTGCGCACGCGCTCGCCGTCGGTTGTTTGACGTAGCGAACTCTATCTGTCGGCTGCCACCGGATATTCTGTCATGCGAAAAAGAGTGACTTCTTTGAGTAAATCAAGCATGAGTTCACCGCGCGTTCGTAGCCTTGCTTTCATGATAAAGATAGTGTGCACTTGCTTGATGTAACATGTATCCAGCACGCAGTGCTTGTACTACAGACACTCCTCTGTCAGGACTACAGACGGTCCGCAGTCGCCCAGACCATCACGTCTAGAACGGAGGTCAGCCAAGGATCAGACCAGCTCCAAGCCAAGCACTGGAAGCACACTGCATGACATCGCACAAGCGCGCGGACACATCATTCAGTCAATTGTGGCACCTTTCGCAAAGTAGCCTATATTATACGAGCAAGTATGGCCGAACAATGAACAAGGCGGCGGTGACACAGTAAGAGCACAAACAGATCCGAGTCCCAGAGGGTATGTAGGTACAAGCACGGATGCAAGCAGTATTTTTACGCCGTCTTGGGCTTCTTCGCCTTCGGCTTCTCGAGGTCAATCTCCTCAGCGTCGTCATCATCGTCCTCCTCATCGTCCTCGTCGTCGCTTCCCCACTCAGAGTCCTCCATGGTACCCGTGAAGTACTGGATGGCGTCCGGGAACACGTCATTGGCAATGGCGGGGCCGACCTACAAAAAGCAAAAGACGCCGCGAAAAAGAACAACGCGTATCACGTGAGCAACGCGTCTTGTTTCACCGGAACGTAAGAACAAACACGTACATCGACGTAGTCCTTCGCGCCCTCGAAAAAGTTGAAGAAGCTGCCGGGGTCGAGCAGGGCCTCCGGGTCCTCCTCGTCGAACACGGCCGGGTAGAGCTTAGTGAGCGCCTTGTCGGCGTCCTTCCAGTTGATCTTCGTCGGCACCGCCTCGACATCCGTGTCCCACGAAAAGTCGAGCATGTGCTCGCCGACGCCGTCAGTGTCGAGAGGCTGGGCGTCGGCGGAGGGCGTGTACTTGTACTCCTTCTTCAGGACGCGGTCGCTAAAGTAGGGGTTCTCCTTGAACGTCTGGACGTGTCCCCCAGGCGCGTAAGCACTCTGATGGGGAGCAAACAAGGGAATGAAAGGGGTACGCACGAACTCGAGCGTGAAGACCTTGGGCTCAATCTTGTCACGAATGACCCAAATATCCTCGAGGTAGCTCAGAGCAGTTTTGTCGGCCTCGTGCTGAGCAGTGAACTTGAGCGTCCGGTGGCGGAAAAGCGCGATGTACCAGAACTTGTCGATGTTCTTGAACAAGTCGCGGCGCTTCTCGTACAGTGGCACCAGCATCTCCTGCGCGCGGCGCTCTGAGTACAACAAGCATCAGTACAGTTTCATATAGAAAGTTCTCAAAGGAAATGGCGTACCGAGAATGAGCTCGGCGCGCTTAAGCTCCTTCTGGAACTCGTCGAGCGCCTTGACCTGCTCCTCGTTGAGCTCAATCTCGATGTCCTTTGCCGCCTCGGCGCCGGGGGATGAACGCTTCGTGCCAGCCATATTTTCGTTGGGTCGTAAAAGGGTTTTGGGTAATGGGGGTGTCGCGGTGGTGGGAGGCTGGTTCCAATGCACAGAACGTTCTGAGTTTTTCGCGCGCGGGTGGAGGCGCCCACGGCCACCGTGAACGGTGGCGCGTTCACGTGTGTTTCCTTGTTCGATTCTGAGACGCGTCTAGGTTCCTCGACGCGGACGCGGCGGCGTGCAATGGCGCTGATTTTCGCGTTTCAAGTACGATTGTATCATGACGCAATCGAGGGGTTATGTATGAGAGAATGAAATTGTTTGATCAGGGTAGTAGCAATAAAGTGCCGAGTAATGTAGGTGGAAAGTACATCAAGAGACAGTCATGCCGTTCAGTTCATCGTCTTGGGAATCTTCCTCCTCGGACTCCTCTTCATCTTCTCCATCGACCTCGAGCGCGCCTTCCCTTTCGTCCCACTCAATCTTCTCAGCGAGAGGATATCTTCTCCACTCGGACACCCATTCTTCCAGGACGTCGCAGCCACGAATGTTCAAGTCCTTGAGTTTGCGACAGGCCAACGCGCGCGAGAGGATGTCGTGGAGAGGGGCTTCAGCCCCAGTGGGGTTATCGGCTATGATTTCATGAAAAGCCACCTTTGTACAGTCCAACGACTGCAAGTTCGGGAACAACAGCCGATCGTTAACAAGACCGGACGAAGGCGACGTTCCTGTGCCGTCCTGAGGCAAAAGCCCGACTTGAGCGTTCGCACCGGGTATCATTGCAGTGATGATGTTCCGAGCACCGTCCCCGGACAGTTCGACGTGAGTGACGGAACGAGCGGGTAGCAAGACGTCATAATGAGCTTGCCAGTTTCCAATGCTCAGGCCGAGGCAGTGAATGTGGCGGACGTTCTCGAGCTGTGCCTCAGACAACAACCTCATCGCGATAGAGCTCGCCGTAGTGGAGGATATACAAACATATATGCGTCGAGCGGGCGTGAGAGGATTCACCTGTTCGTTGACACGGGTCTTTGAGAAGTGAAACATATTTGTGGTCCGAAGGTCAATTGACAACTCGGGGAGAGATGCAAAAGGAGCCCTGCGTAGATGCACTCCTAGTACCCGCACGAGGGACGACTCAACTTCCGTAGTGAGTGAGGTCCGGAGCCAGATGGAAGTCGCGCAAGGGATCTCTAGCTGCGAGAAGAGGTGGCTACAGATGTCGCCAGTGTCAACGAGAAGGAGCGATTCGAGATGTGGGAGTGGTATTCTATCGATGTCTATATCGGCGGGCTTGTCAATGCGGAGTGCATTTATCAATGTAAGTTCCTTCAAGGCGGGAAGGTTCTGTAGCGTGCGCAATGCAGAAGAAACAAACTGCGATGGAGTCATATCTGGCGGGAGAGACATAATATCAGGGCGGTAGCGTAATATTTTGAGTTTCGTAGAGCCTTCTCCCCACGGGAACTGGACGTACTCAAGCCTCAGATATTCGAGATTTGGTGCCATGTGAGTCAGAAACCCAGGTGGTAAACACGGTCTTGCTGGGAGTAGAGAGGGCGGGCATGATAGAAAGAGCAAACGAAGTTTGCGTAGGGCACCTTCGAGCCCTTCTGTAAGATTGAATGCCTGGCGAGCGCTCATGCCGGCCAATGCCAGATCCTGGATATGGTGCCGATGCTTCAGTATGGACTCCAACACGAAGGCGCTGTCGAGATGGACCGCACGACCCGTTATGAATAGAGGCGCTTCTTTGGCGCGTTCAAGGAACACGTCCCAAAGTCGATGTTGGTCGGCCTTTAGAAGAGTCCATAACGAGGGTTGTGTTAGGCAGACATGGCGCCATCGTCGACAGACGTGGGACACGTAGACCCATCCTAGAGTACGAGGAGGATCGTGTGGGGCTTTTGGGCGAATGAGGTTGATCTGATAATCCGAATTGGATAGGAAAGCGAAGATCTGCGCTAAGATCTCTGGTGGCAGGAGTGACGGCAAGGCAAGTTCATTGCGCCTTTCCTTGAGTGTAGCCAGAAGAGTAGATACACCGAATATCTCATCGTCGAGGGTCTGGCGCGTGAGAGTGACGTCCGCCGACGTGGGTGATGACCGCGGCGCGGTGGCAGCCAATGCACGATACGCGTCGAGCCTGCTCGTCTGCGCAGTTGATTTCGGCCTTTCCCAAGTATCAGTAATATGGTCTTTGGCGTCGACGGTCACATACTGAGAAATGGCGTTCGGATCGCTTCCTAACATAATAGCGTTCAGCGGAACCCTGAATGCAAGCCCGCCGATGGGATCTATGTAGATGGTGGTCGGAAGCACCGTCCACGCGCGGATCAAGGCCCGCGCGCGAGTCGCGACTTCATGTCAAATATCCCACGCATTGATTAGAGGCTCTTTGTGGCCATTGCTGATGTAGGAATAGCTCAATAAACGCTATGCGACCTTCCCGCTCCATGTATCCGTATCCTTATCAGTTGGTCTGAGAGTAAGCCCACAGTTTACAAGTTCGCGATATTCTCGCCAGTAGCGGAGCAGTTTGCAAACCATGACTATAAGTGCGGGTAGGCGCGTGAAGCGTAAGTAGTAGTAAGCGAAAGACGTTCGCAGCACGATATGTGATTAAACATTCAGTATGGCCAGTCGTCGTAATCGGAAAATCCATAATATTCATTTTCCCCCTCCTCCTCCTCGTCCCTCTCCTCGAGCAAGCCCTCGTCTGAATCCCAGTCAACTTCTCCAACGACCTCGTCCCAGTCACCGATCCACTCCTCAACAACATCACATCCCTCGATAGTGAGGGTAGCGAGGGTCGATCCGTGCTCATCGCGATCGCCCAGAACTTCGCCCAAAACCCGGTGCAATACTTTCAATGCACCTCCTGTGTGACGGGTATAATCGGAAAAGTTGATGTCCGTGCAGGTCAGAGTGCGCAATTCAGGAAAGAGCACGCCATCATCGGTAGAAGGTGATCCTTTCTCAGTTCCGGTACTGGACGAATGCGAGGTAGTCGGGTACCCTAGCGCGATAAGGTAAGTTCCTGCGTTTTGCTGTTTGATCGTCAGGTCGGTAACCGAACGGGCGCGAAGGAAGGTTTCGCGAAAGATTTCGCTCTCTCCGATGCGACCACCGCTGTATGTGAGGTCGCGAATGTCTTCAAGTACCACTCTTCCTATGAGTTTCTGAGCCAGACTCGCCGCTCCGGCGCGACAAGGAATCTGCAGAGCGACAGACGGGCGTGCATTGTGAGCAGGTGCGTGCGTATACTCGTCAGGTTCTTGTTGTCGCCACAGATTAAGTCGTATTGTGCCCGGATTTGAGTCCGGGACATGAATTGACAGCGCTGTGAATGTGGGCGTAGGAAGCGCCTCGAGGTGTGAACAATAGGTGGAGAGGATCAGGGATTCTACCGCAGTGTAGCTAGTGCTCTGAACATCGAGCGAAACGCTGGACGGCAGGCGAAGCTGTGACCAAAGATGCCAGGAGGTATCGTAGCTGTTGGTGATACAGAGTTCCTCGAGGGGTAGGGCGATGGCTTCTGGATGTGAGTCTCTAGTTATATCCGGCAGAGCGTTGACTAGCTTCAAGATCCTCAACGACGGCATCTGTCGCAACGTTTGCAACACTTCAGGGAAGGTATGGTCGTATGATGGCGGCGGATTGCCACCGTAAGACCTAGTAGTAGGCTGTTGATAGACGAGCTTCTTGAGTCTGCGAGAACCCTCGCCCCAAGGAAAACGGATACCGTACAGTATCAGCTCCTCAAGATCGGGCGCGTAGTCGGTCAAAAGTCCGGCAGGAAGCGAGATATCGGGCGAGAAGCCACCAGGTGAGCGTGAGAGCGAGAGCACTCGAAGGCGTTGCCAAGGGCTGTCCAAGCCATGTGCAAGTGCTTGCAACTGGGGCGATCGTATGTCTGAGAGCACGAGCTCTTCGATGTGGTGTCGATGGTCCAATATGAAGGGCACACGAGTCTCTCCGTTCGCAAAGACCTTGAGGGGGCCTTTGACAAAGAGCGCGACCTCTTTCGCGCGATCCAAGAATGTCTTCCATGGCTGCTGTCCGTCCGGAGTGAGATGCGCCCAAAGAGATGGTTGGTCAAGGATGACACTGCGCCAGCGCCGACACACATGCGATACTGTGACCCAGCCGAGCGATGTCCGTCTGGAAGTCCCTGGCGCCTGCAGGGACATAGGATATATGGCCGCCAACCAGTTGAATATGAGGGCCAAAACTTCCGGAGGCAGTAAAGCTGGCAAAGCAAGTTCATTCCGCCTTTCGTTCAGTGCTGAAGCCAGGAGGTGGACTCCAGCAAGCTCGGCATCGATGAGCCTTCGCGCATGCTGTACGTCCAGGGAGGTGGGCGACGCTCGCGGAAGCAAAAGGTCCAGCGTGCGGTACGTCTCCAGCCATCGCGTTCGCGCGGCCGCCCTTGCTTTGTCGTCAGCTTTGCTAATGCGATACCTGCATGAGTACTCACTCAAACAACAAATTCTTCTCTTCCTCGGACATGAATCGGAATTATGTGACTTATACGATAGGGGTTCGTGAAGAAGATGACCGCAAGAGGCGAGACGCGCTACGCGCCACTGGCGCGCTCGAGCGCTCAAGCGCTTGCGAAGGTTCGCGCTCACGTGTCTTTCTACGTCTCACTAGACAATATTGTGTTGCTGGTCACGTCCCGATCGGGCCGGTCTTCCAAAACTACTGATTTATTCACACGCGTTGTACCACTACCGCTCACGGGATCATAGAGGTAGGCCGCACACCTCACAGTCCGACCCACCATGGTAGTTCTCGTACGTACAGTGCGGACAGATACGTGCTCCTCCGGCGCTCCCACCACCACCTGCTCCCTGATTGTCGGCAGCATTGATCTGGTCGAGCAACTCTGGCGGTATATCATCGTCTATATTAGAACCCCCTATAGTTTGCGGTGGCGCTGGACAACGTCAGTTCATAATGTCAACGGACTACATGACCCGAGTAACACGTACGCGCATGCTCCCTCGCAAACGTTACGAGTGTCTGCCAGCTATCCGTCATGAGCAACGGGTCCAGCACCGTAGGATCATCCAGACTCGGCGCGCTCCCGACCCTCACGAAGACGTGCATGTCCGCCTCGCTCACGAGTCCGCATGAGCCAAGGAACGCCAGTAGATGCCAGTCGCTGAGCCATTTGGCGATCTCCATGCGTCGTAGAGGGTTGGACTCGTTCTTACTGCTGTTGAGATCCGGCGCGCCGAGCTTGTTCAGCTCTTGCAGCACGCGTTCGATGGACTGGTCTTCGAGCCCGGGACGGTTCTCGATAGGGAAGCTCTGGGAGCAGAACTGAGGTGCAGGACTTTGCGGGAAGCCGTTCGTTACCTGCATCGGGACATGGTCAACTGAAGAGCATCGGAATGGAGACAAGCCGATACGCACGTTAACGAGCAGATACTCGACCGGGAACGCGGGCTTTGCGCTCTTTTTAACCTCAATCCCGTACTCGTTACGGAAGCGGAAGAAGACATCCGGCACGTATCGCGCATCTCCGCTCTCCCTACTCTCCTTCTTCACCCGCATGATGTTTGGGTCCACGCTCGCCTCGATCATATCCGCCTGCAACATCCCAACAGCCTGCTCCGAGACTTGGTACGCGTTCACTCCCACGCCACCGCTCTCGTCTCCAGAAAGAACGACTGTGACCATGCGCGAGCCGAACTTGCCGGTATCGCTGGCACGACTTGGTACGGGGTTTGAGCCCTGGATCTGCGCGGCGAATAGCACCTCTAGTGATGACAGGAAGAAGCTCCCAGGATGCCGTTTGTATACGAGCTTCGTGCGGTCCTCTGGTTCTGGGTCCAGATCCGTGAACACGTATCCGACCACCGTCAACGGCGGATTTGCAGCGGCCGCCAATGCGCGCACGCGCGCTTCGTCCTCCCATGGCACCCCAAGTGTCAAGCCATCCAGTTCTCCCTCTTGCGGCGGTTCGTGGATAGCTTCGACGACGGCCTTAACTCCGAGTGGCACCTTGTCATACGGCTCATATCGGCCGAGAAGCCATCCGAAGCGCTGTACACCCGTCCGTCTCCACGCGCCGAGGAAGCGATCTATGATCTCGTGCGATTCAATCTCGACGTGGTCGACCATGCGGAAGGGCTGGCTCTGCAGCGTGATGGCGCTGGGTTGACATGCGGTACAGATCCCAGCAGGCCAGCTCGGATGACCGGACGGACAAGGCACTTTGACGCGGTAATCGGGCTCGGATAGAGGTGGGAGTGCTGCTGCGGCTGTTGAAGCGGTCTTGGGAGTGAGCTTGCGGACGTATGCGTGGTAGGAGAGGTGCTTGATCTGGTGTTCGTCGTGATACTTGGCGTCGTAAGGCTCAAGCGGCATGCAGTTATCGCACATAGCGTTCGAACCGTGTTTGCAGAATAGCGGATCACGACCCCGAGGAATCTTGCCGTCAACTCTACGCAACGCTACGTCGACGGCATCTTCGTTCGCGAGCTCCCAAGGACGCGGCGCATGTGAAGTAGGCGCAGCGGCAGAGGATGTACTTGGTGGAGAGGGTACGACAGCAGGTTCTGACGGGCCCGCATCCGGTAGTGACTGGTACGTGACGAAGATAATGTCCCCATGCCTGCAGAACATGTATCAGTATCTGAGTGGGAATTGACAAGGCCATAGTCGGTTCAGTCTGAGTTTCATCGGAAGGCGTAGAAGTTGCGAAGGAAGAATTCTCTTAAGTCGGTATCCAGAGTCTATACTCACTTTAACCCAAGTTCTTGCATATTTCTGCCGATCAAGGTCGCGAGGACGGTTTCGCCACCTCTGGGCTGGTTCGAGATCGCAAGCGTAGTTTCGTCCGCATTTACGGTCGTCTCAAGAATCTGAGAGTATATTCGTTACCATCATAATGATCGCCAGTCCTAGTCTGTGGCGCACCTTGTGTGCGAGCTCATTGACTGTGGTGGTAGGTTCCAGGTTGAAGCGAAATGTGCCATCTTTTGATCGGACACGAATGAGCTGCCAGTGCGCGTTAAGCTTGTAGTCTCGGAATAAAGATACGATATCGCGCACCATTGTGAGTTTCCGGAGATGGTAGTGGCTGGATGATCTGCTTGTTCGCTACGCGCCAGGACGCGACGCGCGTTCGACCACGCGTCGTCATCCTTCCCACGACGTTTCGTCCGACGAGATCATCGATTTATCAGTTCTTACTTCGTCCGAGCCGCGGCCCGTGCGCTAGACTCCGTCCGCCCCTGCTTGTGTCCGAACAGTTGGCCGGTGCCGACACTGAATTCCGAATTGCAAAAGTCTACTTATGGACGGCGAGGAGGTCCGAGAAGCACCTGTCTTTCTCCCTCAGCGCTCAGCATGTTGCCCTACTGTAATTCTGCACCGCGATGAGGGTGCAGGTGCGGCTGCAGTACGACGGCTAGACGCGTTAACCCATGTGCCTCTTCGTTGTGGCGCGGACATGTCCTTCACCGGCGGCCATCCTCTGTAAATGGGTTGTGCACGGGCTGCACTCAAGTCTCTGGTCTCTATTCTGGCTACCGGAGCCCGAGTCGACGACAAATGTCGAGGGCACGTCGTCTGCGCTGATCATGGCGTCTGTGGTCGTGAATTGGCAAATGCGGCGGCTGCCGCGCCGGCTTCGCTCATGGTGTCGCGATTCCGGTTCGATCTTGCGCTATAGACCTGGCTTTGCTCGTCACCTCATTCAGAAGCCCTTTGGCGCCGGAAATGCGTGTGCGTACTGACCGTCATGTTCAAAGAGGCCGGCCACGCGCTGGCAGACCCATCAGCGCTCGACGACGCCTTCTGGGAGCATCTCAGCTCTATTCCTGCTTTTACCTTTGCCATGGACGACGGACAAGGCCCCTCCGATGATTTCAACCGTCTGCACTCACGTCGCAACTCGGCTAGCGGCTATCCGCATCGCCAGCGCCATCAGCAGCACCAGCAACACCATCCCTCGTCGCATCCTCAGACCGTGCGCCAATCGGCTTTAACCTGCTGACTTTAGGTCTCATCTCATACCCATAGCCAAACATCCCATTTGGGCCGTTCTCTGGTATTCCACCTAATGCGCCGCAGCCGCCGAACGCTCCGCCAGCGCCGACCCACGAGTCTATCCGCGAAGCCATGCGCGTCTTGCAGGCCGCTTTGCATCACATCCCGCCACAGGCCGCCGCGGCACAAGGCCTGCCGCCTTTCCCATCACTCTCGCAACTCGCGCAAGAGCACCCATCGCAGCACGACGGTCCCGGAGGTTTGCCATCGCTGCAAGATCTGCTATCTCTACCCGGAGGTTCGCCGCCGCCTCAGCACCAGCAACAGCCTTCACTCGAGCAGCTCCTCGGCGCGTGGCCAAACCCGAATCCGCTTCCGCCTCAACTTCCGCACTCATCGCATGGCCACTCGCACACGCCCGTTGACGCTCAGATGTCGCAATTCTCGTTCATGTCTTCGCCACCTACATCATTTGTAGTCCCGTCGCAGTCGCACCACCACCAACTGTCTTCTCTCGGCGGCCCTTCCTTGTCTGAGGCATCTGCTTCGGCGTCGGGATCAGCATCTACGTCCGCTGCCGTGCATGATACGCCATCGCCTGTAAATCAGGAAGCGACGCCGCCTACAGACCCGGAGGTTAGCGTCATCGAAGACAAACGACGACGCAATACGGCTGCATCTGGTGAGTAGATCTCCCTATGGCTACTCTCTTGCTTCACATGTGTCGCCCACCCTGCATGTTTCCTCACATGCTCACACGACTACCCCACAGCGCGCTTCCGAATCAAGAAGAAGCAAAAAACGCTCAACCTCGAGCGGACGGTCAATGATCTCTCCGGGCGCGTCGAAGAGCTCGAGCATGAAGCTTCTGAGCTGCGTCGCGAGAACGGGTGGTTGAAGGAGATCGTCATGCTCAAGAGCCGACAACGCGTCGAAGGTCTGAGCTTGCCAGAGCAGCCGCCGGGACCGCCTGATGAGGGAGATGAGGGCGAAGATAAGGATAAGGGTAAAGAGAAGGAGGATAGAGGGGAGGGTAGCAGTACGGGCAAGACGCGGTAATGACCGAACGAGGACTTGGGACTGTTAAGCATCGTGCAATGTTGTATACCTTTCACGCTCGCGCCACCCCCTGCTGTATCTTCTTTACGCCATCGGCTCCAACCACTGACGACGCTCAAATGTAGCAACAAGTTTCCTTCCCCGACATATATTATAACGTTTGGCTATCAGGCTTGTGTACTAGTATTTGATCACCTTCAGGCGGCGTTATTGTCATATCAGAAGGGTTTGCGCTACGCCAGACGCGCCGAATCGAAGGTACTCGACGGGCGAGATCTCATTTGCATGGCTTGGGACCATACAGTTCCAGGCTACTCCCTAGCATCGCCCCGAACCCGCGTAGTCCCAAGATAGAGTCTCAGACGCTTGATGGCGTCTTTCTGACCCTTGCATGATGCCCCAACATAGACACGCTCGAAAGACGCGGACGCTCCGTACGCTCGTTCCACCGCGGTCCCAAAGTCGTGCAACACCGACCGACCATCTTCAGCTGTGTCCTCTGCAGACTGAATGAAGTCGAAGTGAGAGATTGTGATAACGCCAAGGGCTGGGAATAGCGGTGGGTACGATCTAACCTCGCGCAGGCGAAGGTATGCGGCGAAGCAATCGAGAGTATCACCGGAGAGATGTAGCTCTGTCACTTTCTGGTAGTGATGTAGGTCAAGCCACAACGCTATCCACTCGTCGCCATCGTCGTCGTCGGACTCGCTGAAGGTGCGCTCGTAGGTAAGAAGGAGATATGTCGCCTGAAGGAACACCGGTTGCAGAGCTGTGAGCAGCAAGGGTTCGTCTCGCATGCGCATCTGTCGCGTATCCAAGAGAGGAGCTTGTAAGCTGATATCGAGCGGGAGCCGACGACCTTTGTCGATGTCCAGATATCTCAATGGCCTCACGCTCTTGTTCGAGACCTTGACGGACTGATAGTATGCTTTGTTCTCCTCAAGCGCTGAACTGAAGTGGAGGCTCAAGGCTTGGGCGCCTATGTGCATATACCGCAGGGCATGTTCTATCTCCCGTTGATCCATCTCTTCAGCGAGCCCATACTCGCTCCACCCAAAGTAGATTCCGCATTCAGCAGGAAGCGCAAGGTAGCTGAATATGAGGATGCCCGGTATGAACTTGGCTTCGAATAGCTGGAAGCTCTTCATGCGATGCATGTCGACGGCGCGAAGCGGATGGTGTTGCGAGGGCATGTAGTCGTAAGCGAAATCGACGTGATAAGGAGTGCTGAGGGAGTATTGAAACTCCTCGAGGTTGGGAATAGATTGGAATAGTCGTATCATGTCGCCAACATTTGTCCATGCGCGAGCGTCCGTGAGTTGCAAGGAGCGAAGGTTCGCCGAATAGATGGGGCAACATGACGGAGCTTCACAGCCACCGAGGCTGACTTCACGTAGAAGGGGCGGGATAATACCTCCGAACAGACGGACTGGCAAACAGCGCATACGCTCATCTATAACCTCTACAACGTCTGATTGGTACGAGAAGACTTCCAGGAGCGGGAAAGGCACTGATAGCGCTGGCAAAGCTTCGTTGATCCATAAGGCAGTTGCGACCTTATTGGAGGAACCGAGGTCGATATCCAGCGATTTTGCTCGAGAGGCGTGCAAAAGGGTGCGGCGCAATCGTGAGTAGTATGCCTGTTCTGCATCTCCTTTCGAAGAGGTCCAGACCCTCCACTTCAGGTCCAGCGGGATCGTCTTCGCTCGTTCACAACAGAGGAACGTCCAATGAAAGTCGATGGTATGATACCGAGGCCAAGCAGACCACAGTTCCTGCATCCCCAGAGTGACCTCTCTCCACCGTTTGCACACATGTGAGAGAGGCAAACATGGAGGTGCGCCGTCATGCCGATCATCGTCGTCCTGCTGGCGATGGACCGACAGGAAGATGACACATAGTATCTCAGACGGTAACCGCGACACGGGGGGCGCAAGCGACATACAACCTAACAAGGTCATTCTCAGTTGCGGACAATGTTCTCCGAGAGGTCAGACTCACGCAGAGGTGGTGGTCGAAGGCAAGGACTCGTCGCGCAAACAGCGTGGTGGTTCACTACATGCGGCCCGGGCCGAGCTCCGACGCTGATCTGAGTTATCCCGCGTACGCAATATTCTCCGTGTTTACAGCATCATACATGCACAATATTCACTACACAAATAGTATTTCTCAATCAAACGATGTAACGACAGACAGGAAGTAATAATCCTCATAAATATACACGTCTCGGGACCTACAATGTCCTCGAACGAAAGCCAGGGAGCGTTACGCGGAAAAGTGACCAGATGCGGGGCGATGTCGACCAGACTTGATGACTAGCATGGGCCGTACTGTGGCTTGTCAACGAGGTGGGAAACTCAATAGAGATGAGCGTACACACCTTTGCCGCCGAGATGAAGCAAGCTAGACCGCTCGTAGTGGCCTGAGCCGTGAACATCGAACCTCCTTGGTTTGGTGCATACCAAACCGAACCGACGTCGTTTGCCGCGTTCTTGCCGTTATGGAAAGCACCCGATGATTGCACGCCAAGAAAGCTCGAGTACTTGGCCGTTCGCTTTGAGTCATTTGCCTGGTCGAGATAGTACTGAACGTGTTTCGTCCAGATGCCCTTGAAGATTTGCTTATTGCCAGTCGTCAGTCAAGCCAACGTCGACATCCAACTCGCGAACATACCTGATCTTGGTTGCAGGGCTGTGACGCGTCATCATCACAAGATTCCTTGAGAATCCCGTTGTCTGCCAGGTGCGCGACAGTTGCATCGAGAGTAACTGCGAGGGAGATAGTCAGAGGCGATCTACTCAAGGACCGGTTGATCGCTGTTGCACTAACCTTCTGCCTGGTCGAGAAGGGTAGCATTCTTCGTAATGGCATAGAGACTAGCTAAACCGGAAGCGATGACGCCCTAAACGGGGGTCTAGTACGATCGGGGGGTGTAAAGGAGATTCACGGACCTGGTTGTACGTCCAAGTAGTCTCCGCATTGTTCTTGCAGGTGGCCAGAACAAGTCCGTCGTTCCACAGTCCGTCCGAGTTACGCATACCAGATCCTTCGACTGCAACATGCATCATCAGCGGTTATCCTAAAGCCCAAGATCAATGACAGCATACGCCAAGCCCAAACCTGTCAAGATCATTCAGAGTCAGATCAGGTTCGCACGAAACCACACAACTACATACGTTCTTCGCGTTCTGGAGGTACTTCCCGTCATTCGTCCTCGAGTATCCCTGAGCTGAAGTGAGCAAAAACAGCTCATTCGTGATCGCGTTCTTATACGTCTTCGCGGACGACCACCAGACTGACTTCTGCATGAGCTGTGTCGTAATGTGAAAGGACGAGAGTATGCTCACCGCCGCCACCACACGTGTCATCCCACTGGCCGGCGACAAGGTCGTAGATCTGACCTGCCGCATTCATGAAAGGGGTCGTGTCTTGGCCATGAGCCGCACGATAATCCTAAGCGCTAGCTTAGACATCTGAGCACTCTGGCAGGGTGAAACAGACGTACAGCAATCTTCCAAAGAGCTAATGACCAACTCTATCAGCATATGCAGTGATGCACGAAGCAGAACGTATCGTACCTAAGATGATCCACTAGATGCACACGTCAGATACATCATCAACATATGATCCTTCCCGAACATACCTGGCTATCATCCCAGCTTCCCTGTACTATATCGGCCCAGTTTGTAGACGGGTTCTGTGCTGCTTTCCCGATAGTTGAGGTGTCACCAACGCTCCCCCACGTTGTCGTCCCAGCGCCAAGCCTGCCGTACTACATTGAGCGCGGTTGCTGTTTCATCCAAGCCAAGGAACGCACATCAAGTTATGGAGGTCTTCGACCGCATTCTAAGCAAGGATCAGTGATAGCCTCCCGGTTTGCTAGAACAACTACGTACCGCATCCGTCCACAGCTCTCCATTACTATACTGGCCACTGCTAGCGTCGTAGCGCGTCTGGAGCTGAGTGGCGACATCCTGTAGTGTAGACATGTCAGAGTCCCGAGCTTCGAACACCATCATCCAATTGTTCATACCGTCGCCGTATCGAGTGTCGCCTGGCACTGTCGGCGGGAAAGGGAGGAAGTATGAGACATGCGCCGCGAGTGCGGTGAGGCGGCGTGCGCGACGCCAGCAAGTGCAAAGAAGAGCAAGTTGGGGGAGACCATTGCGAAGGAGTGTGACGAAAAGAGTGTGAAGGAGAGGGGCGGGCAGGCCAAGGCTTGGACAGGTCCTGTCCGGCCTGTACCTCAGTCGTTCGACTTTATATCGAACAACCGCGAACCCTAAAGTTGGCAACCAACATCATCTCCCCGACTGCATTGGGAAACACATCTCTTCGAGTGAGCTACCCGAAATGACAATCATGACATCGGTCGATGCATCTATGAGCGATCCGCGATCGCGGGTTGGTAGGTGCACCAGTCGCAGAGAGGCGACGCGCTGGCTCAAGTCCAGCAAGACATGGTGCTCTTCTCGCGGGGACGATACTGCGGATAGAGTGCAAGTCGACTGTCGTTCAAGGCATGTCTTTGATGTTGGGCGGCGGGAACGCCATCACGATGAGCGCCGCATCTTGATTGCTCATATCTGCTAGGCGTCGAGCGCTGTTGTCGTTCTGTTCTTGAACGTCTGACGAGTTCGAAGAATGGTTACATCTTGACGTCCTAGATACAGCGGGTTCTTCATTGGGGAATGACTTCGCTCGAGGTCGAGTATGGGGTGCTGACAGTTGCAGCGTAGCACAGTCAGAAGCGAGGGCCGGGAGCGGGTATGCCGGAAGGTGATGATATCTTTCGTTGGGCAGTGTAGCGTGCTCTCAGGCGGCCCGTTCTGTTGCAGTTTCATGGTACATGGAGCGGTAATGCATATCCAAGAAAGGTTCGCCATGATGTTGGCAGGAAGCAAGTTGCGAGATGCCTCGGACCGGCGCCGTCGAAGCCATCAACCTTCCGGCAAAAACCGCGCAGCGCTCGGCGCGCCAACGGCCGCTCTGTTTACTGGTGTGCGCAAGTGCAAAAGGGCCATGGTATGAACATTTCGGTAACGCATAGCAACAGATTGGAGGTATGTCCATCAGAGTACAGGGTACAGTATTGTATCTCATCCATGCGACGGCGAATCTATGCTGTATCGTCGAGTTCCACCCGATCCTCCCCCAAGCAAAGCTTGAACTGCTTCACCGCATCTTCGTGCCCTACACACGTCGCCCCGACGACAATGGCATCGAAGCTCTCCTGATCACCGTATACGCTTTTCACCGCATCCCCAAGCGCCTGCACGAGCGGCCGTTCGTCGCCATCAGGGCGCATCCGATTGCACGTGCCCGTAAAGTCGAAGTCCGAGATCGTGATGCTCTCCAAGAGCGGGAAGAGCCGCGGCGTGTTCTCCCAGAATCCAGGAAGCATACGAATCATCAAGAACTCGACGAAGCGCTCCACGCTCTTGCCGCACAGATGCAAGTCGATGACTTTCGAGTAACAGTGAAGGTTGCACCAGAGGGCATACCACCTCGTGGTGTCGCCGGCGTTGCCGATAGTGAGGCGGAGATAGCTCGCTCCAGTGAATATGGGGTGTAGTGCCGTCATTAGACACGGTTCGGGGCGCAAGAGCATCTGCTGCGTATCTATGAGGGGCGCGTATAGACTGACGCCAGAGACTGACTCGTCGGTATCTCGATCCTTCGATCCATGATACAGCGGCCGCACATTGGTACCTGCGATCTCGACTGCGTCGAGAGGTGACTGCCCGTCACGGTTGGCAGACATAAAGTGTTGGTTGAGGGCCTTGAGGCCTATGCGCATATGTTCGACGGCGTCTTCCAACTCGTGCGGCTCCATGCCCTGAGCGCGTTCGTCTGCGTCCCATTTTAAGGATATGTAGGCATTGGGCGGCAGTGCGAGGTAGCTGAAGATGGTGATCCCGGGAACGAAGCAGGATTCCGTTATCCGAAATGACTTTATGCGGTTCATCGGTACGGAGCGGAGATGGTGGCGTCCCGAAGGTCTGCAGTCGAACGTGAAGTCCCCGCGGTAGGCGTTGGAGAGAGAGTAGGTGAAACTCTCGAGGTTCGGGATGGATCGAAACACTTCGACCATGCCGTCCACGTCTATCCATGCGCGCGTGTTCCAGAGTGAGAGATGTAGGAGGTTCGCCGAATATATGGGGGTAGATAGGAGGGCCTCGCAGGACGACAGATGCGCGTCGTAGAGCCGTGGAGGACATCGTCCACCGAATAGAGTGGGCTTCAAGCAGCGCAAATCATCGTCGGATAACTCAGGGTTTGATCCGTACCAGAATTTCTCCAGGAGCGGGCACGGTATCGATATCGCAGGTAAAGCTTCGTCTCGCCAGAATGCCGTGGAGGCGGGGTCGGGGTCGGGGTGATGTCGTATCGCAAAGTCCCTGGCGCGAGATACGTGAGAGAGGGTGTGTCTGATGTGTGGAAGGTATGTAGAGCCAGTTCCATCCGCGTCCTGTCCGTAGCCAATCTGCCAGAGCAGGACGAGTGGCACGGTCTTCGCCCGCGAGCAGCACAGCTGGGTCCAGTTGTCGTTCATCCTATTGTACTGCGGCCAGTACGACCACATCTCTTGCATATCCAATGCAACCTCCCTCCACCTTCCGCAGACGTGAGATAGATACGCGAGGGGTGGTTTGCTGCCGTGTTCATCCAGGGCCGATTCCGGTCCACCGACCAGTCGGAAGATGTAACGCAGGAGCTCGGGCGGAAGACGATGCACGGAAGGCGCCACGGAGAGAAACATATGCATGTAGCTGCTAGGGAGTGTGGATAGTGCGGCTGCCGATGCGAAGGTCGGGGACAAGTTGTTAATGTACGAGCACGCGTCGACGGTGACCGCGCGATAAATGCGGCGGCGTCGGCCGAACCAGACTCCTTCCCATAGCCACCACGGCCAGTCCGCGGCCGAACAATGTTCTCGGTGTTCGTCCGATCTTCTCGTTGGCTGAACTTTATAATGGCATACATAGTATGTAAGTGTAGCAAAGCTATCACGATACAGCGCAATCATCGTACCGTAGCCTCGGGAACACTACGAAGCGCACACCGCACCCGTCTCCAGCTCTCATCGTCTACTGCTTACACCTCGACATCAACCTCCACACGGTCCTCTCAGAGACAAAGCCCCAACTGTCCAGCAGCTTTTTCGTGTGCCTCACATATTGCCGCCACACAAACACAGTGATATAGGACAGATGGTCGTGGAAGCAATCAACTAGCGATGACGCATCTTCACTGCCACATTGCTCACTTCTCAGGCGATCCAATGATGCACGCGCTCATGCGCCCATGATCAGGTTCAGAAGAAATTCAAGATCCCATGCAGTTGAAGCAGTAGTGGTTGAAATATGCAAAGAACGACCCGTACGTATCAGATACCTACAGCTCCGCCCACCCCGCATCCGCATCGTCGCCCCCACTCAACATCCCAATCACAAACACAATAGCGCTCGCACTAAGCCTCATACCCAACCCGCGATACAGCTGCCCAAGACCCGTATACCTCCACAGGCTCTCCGGCACCTCCTCCTCCTCTCCCTTCTTCTCCTCCTGTTCCTTCTCCTTCTCTTTGCCTTTGTCGCCCTCAGCACCAGAACTCTCCTTGCCCTTCCCGCTCGAGTTCTTCTTCGACCGTTTGGGCCGCAAAGGCAGATCGGAGCGCTCTTCGGTCATGATGTGCCACAGCGCATCGACGATGCCGTTGTACGGCAACGGGCGCGTCTCGACGCACGCGCGCATGGGGGGCGGACCGCGCCGCTGGACTTGGAGGCGCCGGCGGATAGTTTCGAAGGGGAGTGTGATGAGCAGCCCGACGGACGTGCTGAGGAACTCGACGGCGCCCCATGCGAGCGGGTGTGTATCGGGTGCGAGCGCGCCGGGGAAGAAGCGCGCCGCGAGGAGCGGCGGGAGGCCCAGCGCGAGGAGCGGACGCAGTCCGTTGTCGATTATGGCCGGGAGCAGGAGGTGCGGGTGCAGGTACATCCCGGCGAGCCCGCCCTCTTCGTCCGCGATCTTGCGGAGGGCGTCGACGGGGCCTTTGTACGTCCTGTGGCGGTCGGAGAGGGACTGGACGATGAGGCGCGTGCGGATGAGGTCGAGCGGGGAGAGGAGGAGGCCGGTGAGGAGGTGCGATGTTACGGGGAGGAGGAGGGCGGAGATGTGTGGGGGGTACATGTAGGAGGGCGAGAGGGAGGAGGGGGAGAAGAGCGCTACGAGGCCGTTGTGGATTAGGGGTTGGAGGGTCGAGGAGATTTCGTCGGCGATGAAGGATGTTAGTAGACCTATACCACAGTATGTTTGATTAGAGACTTGGAATATGTTGAAATATTGGGGAATAAACATACCCTTCCAGAGTGCGAGCCAGCCCTCGGAACGGAAGCGACCGACGCGCTTGATCATGCCCCAAACCCCATTGGCGCTGCCGACGGGGATCACGTATTCGGGCCGCGTCCCTTCCTCCATAACACTCCTGCGCACGATGTATCCGCGCTCGTCGGCTGGACGTGGGGCGGGGAAGCGCGACGGGCCGGCGCCGGTCGAAGGGTCGGCGAAGTACCCTGCGTCTTCGCCAGACTCGTCGCTCAACTACAAACAAACATGAGACCTCTGTGATAGAACAATGCATACTTGAATAGACTTACCACTTCCTCGACGACTTCTTCGACGACCTCTTCCTCCTCCACTTCGCCCGCATCGCGTGGCACCCACTGGACTTGCAGCAACAGCTTGCCGACCTCCCACGGCATCGCGATCCCAGTCGTCGCATACTGCAGCACAGCACTCGCCACGAGCGTCTTGACCAGCAAACTGACATCCACGCCCCCAGGCTCCAGCAAACTCGGCGACAGCTCAAACACGGAGTTCTGCGCGGGTCGCGGCGGCTGGAAGACGTATGACGGCGGCTTCGCATTCGGCGCTGCTGCGGACGAGGCGCCTAATATCGATGATGACGAGGAAGCATTGTTATTGTTGTCTGAGGGCGTGAATGCCCAGGGCGCTGAAGGTGTGCTGTAGAGATCCCGCAACGAGGGCGGCGTCGAGCTCATCGTCGGACGTCGTGGCGGTTGCGCATGAGTTGGTGCGCGGACGCGGACTCCGGGGCGCGGCGACGCGGACTCGCGGCGCGCGGCACGAGGAGGCGGGCCCGGGAGACGCGGTCAGGTGAGACAGGCGCGCTAGAAGGCGACGCGTCGCTCGTACGCGTCTGCGTCTTTGGGCGCGCTTTGGGCGAGATTGGGGTCTGGAGGGGGCTGTGTGTGAAGTGCCTTGCTTCGTACCGTGGTTCTGGAAGGACGGTTCTGAGAAGACGCTTCATTGAGAGGCCGCGTGGCGGTGTTCTCGTGCGCATAGAGCGCCTTGGGCTTTCGGAAATATTTGCGCTGACATGACGGGGGCCTTCATGCAGACTTGCATGCTCGGTGATAGACACGAACATGCGATCTGCGGTATGCAAAGGCACTTCACCGCACCCGCATCTTGGGAATGCCCTGTGATGCAAGACTGGAGCGTTCCGGGCGATGACTTCAGTCAAGGGACGGGACGGTTGGACATCAGGAGCTTATGTTCAACAAGCTCGGCGGCACGCTGTAAGCTCAGACCCAGTGAGAACGCCCGGGGAGAATCTGGGATCGTTCGGGTTGAAAGTGTTGGCACGATGATGTCCCGCGTCAACCCCGCACATCCCCGAAAAGTGAGAATAGGGTGTTGGCGATCGGGTTAATTGAGGATGACTTGGGTCAAAACGATCATGGCGCTACCAGTCCCATTGTAACCCTTCCGTATCTCTCGATATATCTGCGTCTTCCGGCAGGTTCGCTCAGGATGGTTCGGGATGCGATCTATCGCTCTTTCGTTGACCTGATTCAACCCGACGTAAACCGGTGCCGCGAGTAGCAAATATGGCATTTGTTAGGAACCGCTCGTAAGATACACACTGCTACAGGACGGTCTACTGTACGGAACCGGAAAGACAAGCACAATTCAGAGTCCCGGGCGCACAGCGAACAGCCTACGGGACCATTGAGTGATGCGATACAAAAGAGTAAGTAGTAAGAGGGCTTACAGGACGATTCTTCTGGAACTTTTTGGCCCTCTAGACACATCGAGTCAACAAACAAGCACAGCGCTAGCACAAACTCTCGGGTTGCAACGTACCTGCTTCTCCTCCATTGTGGCAGCCTGCCACTTCCGGCCAGCCTCCGCATTCGAGATATTTGGATCGGTGTGCAATAAAAGCTCTTCGAATGCGCTCCTGATGTCACGATCAGTGGGGTAACACTATGGTAAGGTCGTGAGGGGAGCGTACTTTTCACTTGCCTTGCGCTCGAACTTGTCTGCGAGTCGCGTCGTAGCAACACGTCCCCCGCCGGTCGACTGCTTCGATGATTTCGCAGCGGCGGCGACTGTGTTGCCATCGGGAGTTGTACCAGTATTGGACACGTCCGAAGCAGCTGGTGGTGGCGGCGGCGGGCGTCGGGGTGCTCGCACACTAACGGGGCTAGAGCGAATGAGTGCTAGACATGATGGCGGGCAGTGAACAGACTCACAGTACATGCTCCGAGGGCCCGGGATGCAGGGACGCGCCCATCGAGCCCTGTGCGGTTCCAGAGGTCTCGTCTTGATGCGCAGGGTCACTGGCGCGGGATTGCAAAGTAGTCTCGCCACCAGTCTCGGCAGTGTCCACGACGGCGCTGACGAGTTTGAGCATGACATAAGGGTACTTCTGTTATGTGCACGTACCTAACAGATGACCCTGCACTCGCGGTAGCAGCTGCCGAACGACTAGGCGCCACATCTTCAGATGAACGCCCAATCGAGGCACCCACACCAGCTTCGCCATTCCCACCAGTCGTGATGTGCACTGGGTCGAAGGACGTCGACTGTGGGGTCATTGCACGGCAGTCAATACAACAGGGACTGCACGGCTGGATTGAGAAAGTCGCACCTGTCTATTTGACACGGGTGCCGGAGGTACCGTATGCCCTGCTGGGTTGATGAGTGGGGGAGTCTCGTCAACCTGCATCGCTTCGTCCTGGAATGCATCATCAGTATCGAAGGCACTATGGGTGTCCGATGTCTCTGACGTACCGACGCAGATTGTTGGAGGGCATCGCCTTCGGCCAAGGTCTGTATCCAACTTAGTTCATCAATTCGTACAGAAGCGCTAACGACGAACCGAACAAGAACTAGTCGCGGCCTGGGCAATTGAGGCGTGGTCATCGGTCAGCCGACGTTCGGGACAAGAAAAGCTAGGCAACATACAGGTGGGATCACATTCGAACCGTCCTGTTCTTCTTCCTTCTGTTCGATAGTTTCGAGTCCCTCGGCCATCGCATCAATAGTCCTAGCGCGTTTCTTGCGAGAGCCTTTTGAAGTCTGCTGCCTCAAAACAGCGCCATCGCCCACACCCACGTACTTCTGGCAGAAATCCTTAAACGGCTCCTTCAACAATTCCTCCAGCTTCCAGCGCCCATCATTGCACTGGGTGAGCTCTTGAAATGCAGTCCCGACCGTGGTGTACAGCCAGCACTTGCCCTGCTCTGGAATGGCACGGAGGGTGTGCGCGTTTTTCAGCTGCCCGTCGAGTAAGAGAGAATGGAAGCAAGAAAAGGCAAGATCACGCGCGCTCGCCGCCCGATAACCGTCCGCTATATCGCCAGTGGGAAGCTCCATGAACATCTGGCCGATGTTCTCGCTACGCGGATGGGAACCACTTTGCGCCTTCACCTCGGATTTTGCTGCTTTGTACTCGTCGAGGGTGTAGAACCGTATATTACCGCACTCCGAGCGTTCCTTGGGTTGCGGCCATGACATACCCGTGCCCAACAAAGGGCGGAGGCGGTAGAGACCAAGTTCAGGCTCGCTGCCGGGTGCGGGAAGTGGCGGTGTCCAACCGGGGGGCATGAGGAGTTCGGGAATCCTCTGCAGTAGGTCACTCGTATGTTTCCTGGATTGAATGAGTTGACGGCGGCGCATGAATGCCGCGATGCTCTCACCGTTCGACTCCCAGCTCGAGCTTTAGGCTGAAGACTTCTTGTTGGGCCAACGAAAGCTGTTCGGAGACTTGTTTGTATGCAAAGTTGCGGGTTTGTACAAGAATTCCCTGGCTGGCTTCGCCGATTGCGTGTAGCTCTTGCGGAGTGGGCGTGTACGTATTCTGTAGAGACTGGGGCTCGTCAGTATATGTATATGATCGGCATAGAATGAGACATACACTAAAGAACGACGTGGAGTTGGGTACAGCTGGCTGAAATCCGTCCTCCACCTGGCTGAGAGAGAGGTTGGGACGAAAATTTCCATTCCGATTGCCTGATTACGTCTGTCAGTGATAGGATGGTTGTGCTCAAGATGAGATACCGAAGTACCTTGGACATCGTTCATGATGTTCATGGGTGCACGAAGGCCCGTGGCAGTGGTATGGAAGGAAAGGCAGTGTTGGCGCGACGCGGCGCGACACGTCAAAGTGTCGACGAATCAACGAACCGCGCGCGAGTGCACCGGGCATGACATGACAGCTATATTCGCACGGTCGTAACACGGTGAAGTAGGCAAAGTATGTGTTCGTTGCATGCACAATCTCCGTGGAATAGGTTCAAGCAAGGAATATAGCTAAATGATCGTACAAATCGAGCTAGCCGAGCTCATACTGCATGTTGCTATTGGCACGGAGGGAATCGGTCACCGTGTCCATTCGGGACTTGTGTGGACATTTGCGCACAGAAGGGTATGCCTATTCGCAGCCATAACGACCGGAGAGGGAATACGAGAGCGACGCAAGAAGTGCGCGTGGCTCTATATCGGACGAACGAGAAATGAGTCGTGTTGGATGTAGCCAGAGTCCGGATACATGTTAGGATCGTAGATACATTGTGCAATGGGCGACGACTGGAGCCAGCTTGTACACAAGGGTTTCGATGGTGGTGGTAGAAGGTAGTGTTGTGTCTGTCGCGCGTGGGAGGCAGATACGCAGCGTGCTGATGGAAAGAAGCGCCGAGAGAAACGCCCACCTACATGAGCATTATCTCGTCCTCGTCCTCGTCCTCTTCTTCCTCGTCATCATCCTCCAACTCCGCATCATCCTTATCTTCCTCCTCGACATCTTCCCCGGGTGCATGGCGCATGATTGCACCCAGCTTCTCGAACGCGAAGTACATTAACTTTGCCAGACCGCCTGTGACGGGTGTCTTAAATGTGTGCGGGATCATGCCGACGACGCCGACGATTGAGCTGATCTCAATGACCTTTAGACCGGCATCGGCGCGATATTCTGCAGCCCACACAGCACCCGACGAATGCTCGAGCAGATATTCGTCTGCATTCCCATAGTCGGACACGAGAGCGACACATTTGAGTTGCCCGCGCACGCGGATGCGGAAGAAGAAGTACACTTCGGCGTAGTGGTACCCGTCCTCCGATTTATACTGTAAGGAATTCAGCGGATGCAGGGAAGCAATTAGGTATGTTCTTACTTTGATATTGCGAGAATTGCGGGTAATCCCGCGTTTGCCACACTCTTTGAGCCTCGAACGCGCAATCTGACCGTTTCGCAGGACGCACCGCCCCCAGCGTTTCACAAAACTCCCATCCTCCTCCTCCCAACACTTTCTCCCAGCCTCCTCGGAGCCGGCAACGCTGTCGGTGGACAACCATGCGAGTATAGCGTCCTTCTGGGCCACATCGTGCAACTCGCGCGGTCGCTCGTCGCGAGGATGCAGTATCGTCGCGCCATGACCACACTCGGCACGAAGATGTGGCTGTGTCCCTCCAATGGGGCGCTCTTTGGCCAATTCAGGATACATGGCCTTGAGTGCGTTCAAGTGAGCGCGACGAGTGGCGATTTCAGCGAGATTGCCAAATGCATTCGACGGTTGCTTGATCTCTGCGCCGAGATCGCCGATGGCACGTTCGATGGGAAATTGCGATGTGCCGATGAGAGGGCCGTTGCGGAGGTAGTCGTTGACGTGGTGTGTGATGGCGTGGGTGCATTGTGGCATGAAGTGCATACGCGAGATCATGTGTTGGGCGAAGCGGTCCTCGAGATCGTACTTGACGTCGGAGAGCAGGATATGAGCCCGATCCAGGTCGGCGTAGGTAGCTTCATTCTGGAATATGATGCGTGTACCCGCTGCGAGTTTGCAGAGCCACTTCCAGTCGTCGAATTCAAGGACATCGTACAGAAATGCAGGTGCTAGACCGTAGATCCAGACGAGGAACTCAACACATTTGTAACCACTCTTCACCTTTCGGCAAGGGTTGCGTGAAGGGCGATCAATGTCTCCTGGAAGGTACTTTCGAGCACCGGATACGAGGCGGCCGTGGCGCTCCCACTCATCGCCTACGAGTTTGACCCAGCTCCAAGTCGATCTCATGTCACCAAGGTCTGTATCGCATTCGAGAATCCCGCGCAGAAGCTTCTGGACGTGGTTGGTGATATTGAGGCCGCACGAATGCATGATGTCTCCGCAGAATATGTCTGGGATGTCAGAGCGATGGGCGCGAGGGATGCCCAGGATGATGGACGGTTTGACGATTCCCAGTTCTAGACGCAACTTCTCGTACTGACTACTGGGTGCTTGACAGATGCGCGTGAGCTCGGCGACATACTGCTCCTCCGTTTGCATTGGAGGGAGCTGGGATGGCTCAATGTCGTCATGAGAGCAGCCGGCCTCATTGTAGCCATCAGGACGAGCGGAGACGGCATAGTAATGCGAGCCATTGGGCTTGTGCCGGCCTACAGTCCCGCAGCGTCGTCGGCAACCCTTGCGCCCACCATGAGGAACCCAACCGTGAAGCTCGGGTGCAGCGACGGCATCCGTTTCTGCCAGAAACACGTAGGGTCGAGAGCGAAAGATCCGCTTCCGAAGACCGTCGTAGATCAACATCCCTTCGTTGGCGAGTGCGGAGACGTGATGAAAGCCAGGATAGTTGAACGAGTCTGGGTTTTTGGGCTTGTTCGGCCCGGGAACGATGGCGCCAGGGAGTACGTACTTCTTCTTGTAGCGCTTATCAGGGGATACGTCGACGAGTATCCAGATATAGATCCAGCAACTCGATGTCTTGTGCTTGAACAATTGCGCTCCATCCATGGAATAGATGAGCACGAAGTCGTCGCGTCCGATCTCGCCGCGAAGATAGGGTTTGTAGAAGTTGGTTCCATGATAGATGTCAGCGAGCGACGCAAGACCTTCGGGACCGAGAAGCTCCTCCAGCAGGCGCCCCATCTCCCGTTCTCGGTGACCCATGTCATGAGCACCATCGGGAGAGCGCCAACGCGCCTGGACCTGCGGACCGATAGGGAAGGTACAAAACTGAGCGAGTGGCTTCTTGACACCGTTCTTCAGCTGTTCGGGATCCCACCGAGGCTTCTTGCAAGCTTCATTTGCGCACGATTCCGCATCCTCCCAAATGCCCGTATACGCCATACAGCTGTCTGGGCACATGTCATGCAGCATAGGTGGTGTTCCCGTCACTTCGGAGATCTTCTTCTTGACGTCGTGGTGGGAGAGAAGCTTATCCTCTGGGTGATGGCGCATGTCTGCCTCACAGCTTCCTTCGTACTTCTGAGGGCCGCTATGCAGCATGTAGAGGTCGATCGAATGGCGCTCGTCCTTGGTGAAAGATGGCGGGTCCTGAGGAGGATTCTGAAGGCGATAGAAGCTATCGTCGTCAAGTTGACTCTCTTTCAGAGTGGCCTTGCGCATCTTGTGGATGTTCTTGAGCGTATCGTCCAAAAGCTTGACAGGCGAGCTAGTGGGAAGGTCGAGATCCTTGCGTCGTGGCCCTGAATGTGGTCCAGGGTGATCGGACTGCATATACATGAGCATATACTCGGTACGTAGGGACAGAATGACGCACATCGCCTGACTGTGGTTGATTCCCTGGCTCGCTATCTCCCCTGCCCTCTGCATTCCCATCCATTCCTCCTTGTAGTTCCTGTGAAATTGATTGTTGAGTCCGATTCACGTATACAGTGGGCAATATCGATGAGGAGAACTCACCTCGGGCGGTACAACCTCGACTTCAGGCTCTTCGTAGCCCGGAGCCCGAAATCCTGGCTCATGCTCTACACTCGCCTTGAGGAAGTATGAGCATTTGAGTGCCGGAAGATGTAAAACGATGTACTCCACGATCAGGCGGCACACCTAGTCTCTCCCTTGGTGAGAGTTGGCGGCGCGGTGGCTGTGGCTGTGGCTGTTGTTGTGGAGGGATTACATCTGTGGCAGGCGGGGTAGGGTTTGTTCTCGGCTGTTTATTTGCTTGCTGACCCTGTAACTCGTCTGAGATAGAGCGAGCTCGCTTGGATCTGCTCTGCGCAGGAGCAACTGCTTTCGCGCCAGTGGGTATGGGGATCGCGCCAGTCGCGATTTGCCTGTTGCGCTTTCGAGTATGCCTGTACCAAGAGCTCGAAGGGATCCACATGTTATGGGGACGATGTCGCATGCATCCCAGACAGCCACAGTAGTATGTCGGCTCGGGAGGCTCGGGAAGGACAGCGGGTTCGGCCATGGTAGTCGATGTACATGAACGAGACCGATCGAGAGGGGCAAACGCGCGCGAATGCGGATGCGAAAACGTGCGAAGTGACAGGACGAAACCAAACCTGCGATGCAAGCTTGTCTCGTCAATCCATCATGGCGGTGCACCCGTCATGCACAGTCTCGTATACATGCAAACAAGTTCTCTCGGGAAGCCTGCTGTGACAAATAGCTCCTGGTTATCTCATAGCACGAAAAAGCAGGGGCGCATGAGTATATTTCTCAATTGACACATCGCCATTACACTCTAGGGTCATACGGAGACCTAACAGACTGTTTTCGTGAGCTGTTTTACCCCGAACACCACATAACAATGTTCCAACCATAGTACTGCAACGCGAAAGTCAGAACGGCCAGGTGCATACAAGTATGGGCCCAGCTTACCCAGCTACAACGGCGGTGCTTGATCCGGGTCCTTGTTCCCACTACGGTCAGTGACCTATATCTCGCAGAGTGCATGCCAATTGTATCCCAAGGCGCCATGGTCATGTCGGAGCACCTGCTATCGCCCACGGTGGCCGTATCCAGGCAGTTCGGCCACCAGTGACGCCGAGATATGTATGGCCGTGGTGTGCATGGTAGCGTAACTTGGGTGTATGCCACATCGCACTCGTAGCTGTCCACAGCTGGCGAAGAGGCCAACTGAACATTCTGGCCAGCCAGATGGCGGTTGGTGTGAAGGCGAGTGTACACCTTGCTGCGTTGATCGTGGGCGCCCTCTCACGCGCACGCCACGCAGCATTTCCCCATGCCAAGTATACACGAACCGCCGTCTTGGTCTCTCAAGTACATCTTGCAGTTTTGTTATGGATCTCCAGTGCCAGTACGTGCTTTTGTTTAATGACTGCATGCGCCCTTTGTCGTAGATGCCCTGGACGAGAGCTATACCGCCCGAAACGGACCGCGCGAGTCGGGGTTGGGGTGACCACCGTCTCATGAGCTTCGTCGGGTGTTTTCTGCCTGAGCACTCCAGCGAAGACTGTCGACTCGCGACAGCGTGCGTCCCCTGCCGTAGGCTGACTATTCCTTCGGCACCGTTATTTAACGGGGAGCGCACCCAGATCATGTGCGGCAACACTCGGGTCGAAGTGACGACGGTCCGAGGACATGAACGGTGGGTCCCGTTATGCAGTGGCGTTGCAGTGGCGGCAAGGGCTCATATATATATCGCTTAGAACCACAATTGTCATCGCGGCACACCCTGAAACCGCATAATCCACGGCTAACACCCCCGGACGACGAACCTCGTCCGGGTGGTTTCCCGTTATCGATGTTTCGCCTCGCGTCCAACACTCGACAAGCCATCTACATATCATCTGTACAAGTTGCGGTACAGGATAGACATAGCCTGCAAGTTGTATGTCTCACTAAGCTAACTAATGGTGTTCGATAGTCAAGCCCACGAATATCACGCTGGGATGAAACACGTTAACCGCTAGTCATGGGATCGCGAGCCATGCCGTGACGGGCCAGAACCACGAACCACCAACTTGCGCGGAGCAGGTCTCGCCGCTCACGGGCCTGTAGCAGTCATATCACCTTTGGCTGGCTGAGACTGAGTTTGCTGCAGGGGAAACGCGAGGCGAGGCGCGGCATGACCAAGACGCAATGCTCGTTGTGTGGCACCGATTTCAAGTTGCCAACGCGCAACCTATTCGGTGTTCGACAGCGCGGCAGTCAGTCCGGCGTCAATCGTCGTTAGCACCTTGTGGCTGGGGTGTTTGGAGTACCATGCGAGTGATCCGGGGCTCGTAAAGGTGCTCGCGGAGGGCTTAGGTGCACAACCCACAGCCGCGCAGATGACAGAGTGGTGTAATAGTTCGAGCATTGCGAGCAGCCATCTGCAAGGATAGCCGGTGTCACGACCGATGGTCTGAGAGGGTAAACCAATATTATGAGCACAGCAGCGTGAACCTGATGAGGGGACGGAAGATACGAGGCGGTGAGACAGCGAGACGAGACAAACAACTGAGAGAGAGAGAAAATATCTAGTATATGTGAAGTGCCCCTGGTGCAGGCACTGACAGAGTTACATACACAGACTCGGGACATCTTTATACAAGTTTTTCACTATGTCGGGGATTTCGTCGGGATCGTCGTACAGCTCCAGGGTATACGGCAGACCTTGACGCGCCAAGTGCTCCCCCCGAGCCCTCTCGCGAGCATTCCACTGCCGTTTGTAGCGCGGTATAAGTGGCTTGAGGCGCCAACCTGACATCGCACTAGCGTCAACTCGACAGCATGCTTTCTTAGCGAGAAAAGCTCACCCATCCCTTTGTCATCCATTAGCTCGCTGACGTTCTCTGGAGTACGTCTACTGGGAGGTGGTATCCCACCGTATCGTCTGCGAGGTCTGCGAAGCCGGGGCCAAGGTTGTGGCGCAGATTGGGGTTCGACATCACCGACATGCATATCTTGATCTTCTTGACTCGTCAAGATTGTACTCGCATCTGAGAGCGTTGGCGGGAACGAGAGCTCGAACTCTTCGACCTGTGACGAATCCACAACGCCGTCCGACGATGAATATGTGGGTAAGTCCAGTACAGTTGCTACCGGCGAGTTGTTAATGCAAGACAACCAAGAACGAAACAGCTACTACGCACCTTGCCTCTCGATGGCAGCATGATATACTTCCTCCGACTCGGCGACAGCAATTTCGGTCCTGTTCGCCACCTGTCAAAACCCGTAGTGGTACAAAGGGTGCAGAACGCACAATCCGCTCGGGGCCGAGGAGCATTCACGTTCTGGACTGGAAGTGCGGTCGCGCGAGGAGTGCGCATAGCCATGTTCGAGGGCGTCAAGGCGCGCTGTCAACCGTTTGACAGTATCTTCTAGTGCTATGCAACCGTCGCATCTTGTACGACCGGCAGGGCCGGAGGACGACATGAACGCAGAAGTGCCAAACGGCTGGAGCGACAACAAGTCGGGCTCCAGTCACATTCCGTCAACCTGCAAACCCCATGAGATGTTTCCCACAGATGATTTCACGGCAACGGCCACAACGTACTACTGCGCGGAGCTGGGCGAGGCCAAAGTACATCTAGAGCGAGCGATTACAGTAACATCGTGGCTATCGAGAAAGGCATCCCAACGCGTCCCGAGGCATCCCACTTCAGATCCACGTGTTCCTTGATCCGCCTCAATCATCCCGAACGATCCCAGATTCTCCCCGGGCGTTCTCACTGGGGTTCAGGACCGAAGGCTGGCGTTCGGTGTGGAACGTGGAACGGTGAGCTCAAGGAGAAATTGCACGCTAAGCCTGGCAAGTATACGGATTTATGCCACATAGACCATCCTGTTGTGAATGCTGCTTGGTGGCCGTCGTGGCGAGAAGCCACAACCGGCGAGAAGACACAACCAGGCACATGCCATCCTTGCAAGGTTATTGGATAGTAGAGTGTATTCCTAACCCAAGATACGGTCCTCTTCGCGGAGATCTTTACTTGAAAGAGGTGATTTGCTCCACGGCGCTAGAGAGATCGGGCTCGCAACGCCGTTCGCCTCGTCCGTGGGACCCGTCCACGCGCCAGTCCCAGAGGCTCGCCATCGTATTCGATACACCTGCGCGGCTCTGTGCATACATTTTTCTTGACAAAAGACGAGGGGGCGGCATAGGGCAAACCCTGGCAAACCAAGCGAGTCGACCCGCGGCGATCAATAATCCGCCTGATGGCCATCATTCGAAGAGTTCACACTCTAGTCTTCCTGTGTAGCGTGGAGTACAGCCACGCGCGTCTAACATATGACTCTCGTTTGATTCGCGAGTGGCTGAGTGCTTGTTCTTTCTGTCGTTGACTATGCGTCTGCAGCATCCTTACGGCCACTCGGCGGGCGACTCACCAATGACCATCTCTGCCTTGCAAGTATGAAATACCCGCACCGCTATTCTAGGACTTGATTCCGGTACTCTACGCCCGTCATTGACACCAGTGATAAACTCTATCGCTGCCTCAACGTCACACGAGGAGCCTCGAGGCGCAGAAGCGAATTTCAGTGGTCAAGTGAGTCGCGTTTAGCGTATATATGCACGAGCGTGGCTGATCGCGGCCAAGTGTTATCCAGTACCCACGATGAGCGCAGCATTCTTACGGTCACTCGGCGCGCGATTCACCATCTCTGCCTTGCGAGTATGAAATACCTACACTGCTATTCTATGACTTGATTCTGGTACTCTACGCTAGTTATTGACGCCGGTGATAAACTCTATCGCTGCCTCAAAGTCACACGAGGAGCCTCGAGGCGGCAGAAGCGAATATCAGTGACCAAGTGAGTTGCGTTTAGCGTATATATGTACTACACGTGGCTGATCGCGGTCAAGTGTTATCTACTCACGATGAGCGGTCCATCGTATTTATTGAGCGGGTACGGATGCACGCTAATCCCAAGAACTTCACCCCCGTCTTCCATCTCGACTTTGAGGTACGCGGACTGCGTCTTCTTCCCTCCCTCACATCTAATCCTGCACTGCTGCGCATCAGAAATGTCCAGCCACACTCCCGACTCCATGCTCGCGCTGCAAGTCGAACTGCTGCAAGCTAAGCTGGCGCTGGCCGAATCACAAGACGATGCCACGGCTGTTTGCACGCTCCGCGTCGGCCTACTCGAGAGGCAACTGGCTCTCGCAACAGCCCGTGGCGACGGCGACACCGTGCTAGGTCTCAAGGTCGACATCATCGAAGCCAAAATCGCGCTGGCAAGTCGTGAAGCCGGGGCCGCACCGGACAGCGATACGACGTCATCTTCACGCATCACAACAGGTGCTGTCGTGGGCGACGGCGGCGAACTAATGTCGGCGGCGGAAGATGATCGCGCCGCGCAAGGCAAGTCGCGACAGTTAACGGTGGTTTGACTGCTACTCATGGTATCGATAGCCACAACTCCTGAACCAGATGCGCGCGCCGCACAAGGTGAGTCGCGACAATGAACGGTGTTTTGACCGCTACTCATGGAATCGACAGCAACAACTCCTGAGCCAGACCATAACGCGGCCGCGATCTGGACGCGTATCGTTGACGACCCATTCACATTGAGCAACGTCGAGAATGAGCCCGGGCAAGCTCAGGAAAGGGTCGAGGAAAACGATGTTGAGGAAAACGCTGTAGTAAGTCCTGCGTGTTCGCAGTTGTTGCTCCGTGCTGATATACGCGGCAGGTCGGCGACTTGCTTGGCGGTGGGAAGTCACCTTCGCCAGTTGATGGGGAGGATTTAGGCCCTGCGTCCGCTGTCCGTCCGACATCAACGACCTCAACGGCCGCACTCGCTAGTGACGCGCTCAAGTCCCGTGGTTCAACGTTGGAGCTCACCTCGGATGAAGAAGAGTTGCACGGCGTTCGCGTAAAGTCACGTTCCTCCGTGCGTAAGCGGCGAGTCATAGAAGAGGCGGAGGAGGACAGTGGCGATGACGACGATGAGCTACACGAGAGTTCGAACGAGTCTAGCGCTGCAAAGAGTACCCATTTGGAAATGGATGCGCCGAACGGGCCTGACGAAGATTTCGCCGTACAGTTCATGCGTTGGGTAGGTTGGATCTGGGCGTGGGCGGCGAGGGTGGACGATGGCCGCGAATTGGTTGGATCGATGATAGGTCCGCTAGTCAGAATTGAGCTGGCGCTCGGTTTCACGGTTAGTGCCCCCTTATAGTGTATATCGTTCATCCAGCTGATGTTACCTATAGCAAGGCGAAGCTCTTCCCGACGCCCTGCCTTACATGAAGAACTGGGCTAGCAAGCGGCGCATGGCCTGCAAGATCGACCATGTCGACATGTACGACAATCCGAGCAAGAAGGATGCTTACACTCCCAACTTCGAGCACAAAACTCTGGCGTGCTGGTCGTTGATCCGCAGTCAACCGTTCAGTGCAGTAGCACAGATGACGGGGCGATACGGCATGGTTCTTGTAGTCCGCAGCCTTGTTCAGGCGCGCGCATCTGGCATCTTGGTCCACGATTGGGCTTTGTACGTGCGTGAGGTCGCGGCATTGTTGGAGGCTGTAAGACGCTATCGCGAGGACGACGAGATCGACGGCGATTGTGACGACACCGTTCTTGTCCTGATGCAGAAGTGGGACCCTGTGGGTACGGCCGCAGTTTCCGACGCGCTTGACGCGCGCGCGCGCGAACTGGCAGAGATCGAGGGTGCCAGGAAGACGCGTCCTGCGCCAGCCTCTCCGTCGCAGGCTGGGGTCAAGCTCGAGCGCAAGTCTTCACCGTCAAAGGGCCGGAGCAATGGCATTGTTCGCGTGGCAGGCCGTAAGAGGACGTTGCTAACACTTGCCCCTCCGCCGAGTGAGTCAGAGGACTCACCGAAGAAGAAAGCTCGCCGGGGTAACGCGCCCGCGTAATGGTACTGCGGCGGGAGTTTTGATTATTTTGACCCACAATATCTTACACTGGTTCTTGATGTACATACGTACTGTAGCTCTAGGTTCGGATTAGTATACGCTTCTATACGCTGTTGACGCACGAGAATGCGGACCGGCAGGATAACCTTTGCCCGAAATTGCCCACTTCTCGCTTGCCTATAATGGCTTGATTGGCTGATATATGCTATGCCACTCCTTCAATGTGCACTGTATATTTCAGACCATATTGTCGCGTATGCTCCGAGCTTATCGCAGCCGTGTCACGAAGTCTTTCATCGTATCCAGTCTCGGGAAAACTAGGGGAAACTTCGCGCCTGATCATGATGCCCGCGGTACATGACGGGTCATTCAATGTTTCTTGTCTTCTCCGGCTGACGTACAGCGCTGTACATGCACATGAAGATATTTGCTTGTGCGCGGGTGACCCCGAACTGCTCGGGTAGCGCGAGTCTTTGTCGCCGCTGGTCGTCGCCGCGCGCGCCGCCCGCCCACTCGACGGGGATCTCGGCCAACTTTAATTGCCATGCTTGAGGACTTTGCGCCAGGTCAGATGCAGCAGGAGTAATGTAATCGTCCATGGAGAACGTATGTAGACGGTGACCAAGGAATCCGGATGGCAAATCTGTTCTACACTACTCAAGTGAGAAGTCCGCCGAAAACATCTTTTCATCAACTCTCCTCTTTCAGCCGTCTTCACTATGTCCGCTTCCTCCGCCCCCTCGGCGCATTGCTACCACTTGAATGACCACCCTGTTTGGGCGGGCCTCCCCGCCTTGCTCTTTTCGTTGCCCTTTCTTCCCCACTGTGAACATCGCCGGTGACAAGAGACTCTGTCGGACGCGGTAGATCGCCACCGTGTCGCTCGCCACCGGACCAGCCGTTATATGAGCCAGACCCCTCTTCGACGTATGGGTCTACCTCTAAGACCGCCGGATCCTCGTACAACTCGGCAGCATCGTCACCGAATGGGTCTTCCTCCGCTTCTGCGTACTTCCCCTTGCGCTTGGCCTTTGTTCGTCTCTCGCGCCGCGCATCAGCAAGACGCAACATCTCTGCAATCTCCTCAGATGGGAGAAGCGTTGAGGGGTCCAAGGCAATCCCCTCCTCCGTGTGTGTAGCCAGAAACCATGACGCCTCTGTCCTCAAGCCGGCAAACTCTTTTCGCCACTTGGTCGCCTGTGCTCTCCGTATGAACGCCTGTTTCGAAGCATACGCCCGCCTGCCATCCATATATCCTGCATCGCTTGCCCACGCCTGCTCCTCGCCCAGATCGATGGTGTCGTCTGAATTCCGACGTTCGTCCCACAACCGAGCGAGAGTCTCGCTGGAGTCGATCACGCGCTGCATCTCAGCGTCAAGCAGTCGTATCTCTTGAACCCAGTGTTGGGCGCGTGCACGACATTTGGCCCATTCCGTCATCAAATCTATCCATGACCATCAATTATCAACCTATACTCTGCGCTGAACATATCGTGGCTTACCGTCGACGATCTCTGAGCTCGATTTCTCCTTACAGTTATACCAGATCCACGGTACCTTGTGTGCCGTATCGCCGGAATGGTGTGGATCGGCCCGCCCTTGGAGGAAGCGTTCTATGGTGTTGGCTGACATCCTCTCCATCTGCTCGATCATTCTATCGCCTAAGCATCGGCAATCTGAGTCACGCAACTCCCGCATTTCCTTCTGCCAAAGCCCCTCTCCTTCTAATGCCAAGTGAGCATCCCAGTGGCGCCGGTAATCATTCGCGACCGCCCTGATGTTAGCGTTTACGGTAGCCTGGGTTGTTTGCGCGCGAGTTGCTGCCCTTTGACCGGTGTAGTGGGCTATTCGGTGCTTTTGGAGGCATCCTTTGAGGAGCAACTGGCTGGTAAGACACTCGAGCGTATCATTCAGAGCGTTCCAGCGGAGCTTGACCTCTAGAGCTCTGGCGGCAGCGGGGACGGCTGAGAGGTTACCGCCCGGGGGATCGGAAGGCAGGCCCAGTCGGACTGTCATGGCAGTGCTAGCGTCGATGTCCATGTCCTCATCAGAGAGAGCGGCGTATGTCAACGGCATAGTACGCTTCTGCGCGTCACGGAATCGTAGGATCATCTGGGCAAGACCATTCAACAACCGCGTTCGAATCGATGTCCTACTTGTTTCGTCCTCGTCGTCGCACTTCAAAGCTATACGCGCCCTGCTCGGGCGATTAGAACACAGATCGAAGCCAGATCACAGGGTATGCACAGACCTCTCATCTTCGATCTCCATGCCAAGTTCGATACATGCAGACAGTGCGTCATCACTACCAGACTGTTCCGAATGGCCAATGGTGGCGCGTTTGACTGCCTTCAACGTTTGTAGCGCAATCTGGGGAATTGACAGCCCTCACACCGGCATCAGCTTAATTCTGAAAGAAACGCGGACTATTGATGTACTCACCCCTCTGTTTCTTAACATAGTAAGGGCATTCTGTATCCGGTGTTCGAGATTGATCAGCCGCGTTCCAAGTAGCAAGGCCTCGCTCAGTTTGGTCGAGTCGTTCAGAATGTTCTACCCGCAGCGCCGCCATAAAATCTGTCTGGACCGTAGCCTGCTCACGACCATCATGCAACGCGCGATCCATCTTGCTTCGCAATGACAACCCTCGGAGGTTATTGGCATCGCTGAAGTCTTGATAGTAGGAATGAGACACACCTATCGTACATGTTTTGAGCCAGTTCCACGCGCCAAATACATCATCCAGTACATCGTTGTTTCCACCCGGTGACATCTCCCTCACACTTGGCGCAACTCCGTTGACGTTGGACCATAGACGCTCAATTGCCTCGCCGTCGGTCATCCCCACCCCAGATAAGTATAAGAAGGCGTATCGGAGCTGGCACCACACCTTGTGAGCATAGAGGTGGAATTTAGGCACGACGTAGGTTATATCGCCTGTACTGGCCAGCTTTGCGAAGACTTGAGCGCCAGCCCAGATGATGCTTGTCGGACGAATGCGAGCGAGGCGAGTTGCGAGATTGATTCCGTACTGGCAGACAACGTCATATGACAGTGTGACTTCGGGGGCGTGGACGTGTGACAGAGCGCCACAGAACACCCAGTCCATGCTCTCGTAACTATGCTTGCTTTAGACAATGTGTACATCTCGAGAGATGCCAGTCACTTACCGCTCTCCTTTGTGTAATGGGGCAATTCCTAGCGGTTGTACCATCTCGTGGCGCGCACAGACACAACCGGCTACTCCAGTGGAGCGCTGACCCTTCCCTCCTCTAGTATCCGCCATCTCCAGAGCCGCAAAGCGTGAGCAGGTTGACTGTGTTTGCGATTCAGTGGGTGAACACCGGAACCGAGTCTCAAAGAATATGATCTCACTTTCTGCGCGACTTCCTTGATAGTATTCTTGGTGTGTCGCGCGTAGTCCTGCCAAGGGGCCAAGTATGCTTTGCCGTCAGTCAGGTTGGGATCCCTCTTGGTTGATCCAACCAGTTTATTCGATAGTCTGAAGTTCGCGTCGAGTGCCAAGATAACCCGGTATAGCCATCTATCAACAATCAGCTCACCCGGCTTGATACACCTAACTTCTTACCGAAAGGGTCTTGAGGCCCAGTCCTTGGGCATATTGAGTTTGAGGTTCGGGCAGGCAATGCACACTACTGCGCACCCTCCTGGAGGCGTTCCCGAGATCCCACCAGGCTCATGACCCCGGCCAGCCCGCTTAAACATCATGACATGCCGAAACTGCCGTACGCAGTTGGACAGTTGCTCCCTCGCGCCCTGAAGATTGGGTCAGCGTCGCGACTACATGCCCCAAGAGCTCCATCGTACTGCAATACCGCGGATCATCGCGCCATCTGTCGCGGCCTCCAGCGCTCGGTGAAAGTCGTACAGACTCAATCGGCCCAGCGAGGAGAGACGCGAGAACATATCCAGAGCCTCAAAAGTCGTTGCCGTCTCGGGTTTTGAGCATGTGGCAGGCCATAGACGCCACCTCATGAGCTGGATATGATGAGGAACATCTTGCCCGACTTCGCAGTTGCAGAAGTCGACCGGAATGATATGAATGCCATTGGTAGCAATGATCTTGAAAGTTTCGACGGAATGAAGAACGCGAAATTTACAGACCTCGCCCGGGCTATGCAGCAATTGGATCCGGATACCCAGTTCGGCTCCGTTGACTGGTTCATAGAAACCTGACGCATTGAAACACTTACAATGACATTAGGAGACAGTTTCAAGCGGAACGGCGTGTGAAGCGCACCTCTATTTTGTGCAACGGTGAATATCGGTGCCAGTAAACCGTGCATTCTTTGCATAGGTTTGCGCCTCGACAATCTTCACAGCGATACTCCGGGAAGCCATCTTTGCCGCAGTGAGGACACTTCTCCAAGTCCAACGCCTCTGCACGCCCATCCAGTCGAATGTGCTCGCGTACGTAGAGCTCCCGCCATTTGAGCATCCAAGGTATGATAGGGCATTCCTATGGATCGTCATTCAGGGGTGCTGTAACGTCGTATGACGATCACGAACATCCCAAAGCTTACGAATGCGCCTGGTTATGCTCGGTTCCTTCGGCCCTATCGGAGCATCCGCGTCATATTGGTTGGGGTCCCCGCCGTCAGTGCTGGGCGTAAATACGGTATCTGTGGGTGTAGCGGGTCCTGTGCGTGATTGAGTAATCAGTGAATGTGTTGACTTGGGACACGCACTCGCAGCCGCATTGTCCAGGGATTCGCCGAGAAAGGGGGTCTTGAAAGCCGCTGCGAGCTTCTCCGCGCCAAGTCCAGCGAGGACTCCGTTTAATGTAGTCGGATGTCTGCCTTGACTATCTAGTCGAAGCAGATGGTTGCCATCCCTTGGAAATGCCGCAAGATTGGCTGGAAGGGAAAAGGAGAAGGTCGAGCTCTTGGGCGCCGGCGTAAAGAACGTAGTCGTAGAAGCTTTCGGAACGGAGACGTTCGTGAGGAAGGATCGGTTGTCGTCAAAGTTCGTGCGACGTTTTCGCGGCCGTGGCGAGTCGTCAGTGCTGAAGCGGCCCATGAGCTTGTCTGGGGCCGTCGAGGGCGGAAGAGACGTATGAGTCCGAGGAACTAGCAAGCCGGCTCATGTTGGTCGGCAATCCCTGATATTCGACAACGGAGTACCGCCATCCGTACTCTCGGAGTTCATATGCGCGTGCTGAAACGCGGAGGCGAAGGGGTACAGCGCCCTTCGGAAAAGCGGGAAGCACCATGGCATTGGTAGCGTCATAGCCGATACATCATCGGTGCATTTGCCAAGCAAGACGGCCTTTACTGCAGCTGAGTATATGGCTTGTCTCTTGATGTCGTCTGCGTGTTCCAATGTGAGTGTATGCAAAGGGTAGATGGCTGATGCCGGCGAGGTATCTCTACCCCACCCGACGACACATAAGACCACAGTAGCTCAACCGTTCCGTATCATGCGAACACAGCTGGGTGTACAATGCCATCAATAGCTGATGGATTGTACGACTACGCCGTGGCCGTAAGAGCGAGTCGCGTGAAAGCTCCGAAGTCGCGCACGCGAGCGCCACGCGACTATTGCCGCAGTCCCAGAGACCGTGATGAATTCGTGATTGCACGACGTCGAGCTCTCTCTGAAAGCGATCCTTGATTAAGGGCAAGACAGGACGAATAACATGACCCAGCCTGACGATTATATAAGGCGCTTCCGGGTAAATGCTCGATGCTCAATGTTGAAAACTGGCAGGCAAGGCATGCTACCAGAGCAACGTGCGGCGCATTCTTGCGTAAACGTCGTATAGGCCTGAGTGTATACAAGATCAATGTATCATACAGAGGCCAACATCTGAAGGTCGCTCGAGACGGTGTATCCCAGAGACCTCAACGTATCTGCGTAGCGCCGTGTAGGGTTGAAAGAAGGTCGCGCGTTGGAATAAAGGTGGCGAATGCATGTCCAGGTTCTGCGCGCGAGAATATGTCATGACGGTAGATATCCGAGTCGGTTATCTCGGTCTCAGGGGCACATACAGTACGGGTGGAGAGGAGAGAAAATGAGATGGTTGTGCAGGTTGAAAGAAGGTCGCGCGTTCATCAAGATGTTTCGCAAATCCCACCATCTTCTAGATCTGATCAGATAACGGTGAACGACTCTCACGGACACGTGCGTCACTTTGCCCACACCTTGCCTTTACCAGAAGCCGATAATCTGTGTACAGTAGAGTGGGCGGCGACATTACCAAAGAAGCCTGACGTCCGAAGGTTTCACATCGCCGAGCGCAGATGGTCATCTGGGATAATATATCGTTTAAATCTCGATCATCTCTGGATAATTCCTGTATATTCAAGGAATAACTACTGTCCGTCGATAGTACAACGCCTTGCCGTCTTCTCACTTCGAAAACAGAGCTAAGCTGCAGTCCTGTACGGATGTGCCAGTGGTACATGGGCGTCACGGGTCTACATGCTGAACCGGGACAACGACTTCGCAATCTTTGCGGCGTGATGGCTGGTTTGGATAACAACATCTGGCTGTGCAATCGACGTGTCGAGTTCTGCACCCGAAGGTGAGAATGGTGCCGGAGAGGTCTCCACGAATGTCAAGGAGTCCCGGCGACGACCATTGACAGTGTGCTCTCGATGATCACCGAGGATGTCGCCGCATGTAAGAGCGCCTGACGAAGGAGGGAAAGAGGGATCCTCCATGAGCGATCGCGGCAATAACCCAACCTCTCTGGGTTGAGCTATAAGCGATTTGGAGGTGTCTACGTGGTGGGGATCATTGTGCAGGTCCGTGCCCGACACTGCAGGGGCATGAGGCACTGGAAGACCTGTACGTTGCCGGTAGTCCAAGGGAATTTGGTGACCTCGCATGTAAGCATCTCCGAAGAACCGATGTTTACGGACCATCGACGCAATCTAGGAGTTATGTCAGGCTTACGATGAAGATACTCACAGATATGTGCACGCACCGCAAGTTCTGCGTGAGATGGGTTGAGCACATCCAGTAGTGCGCCCGACCGCGACAACAAGCGACCTGCTACTTGCGTAGCCTCTTCAGTGTTCTCATCGTCGGTATCCCCTTCACCTTGTCCTTCACGCCCCTCCTGGTTCTCAGATGAATCCGTGATTGGAGAGCTTTGCCCCAACCCTTCACCTTGATGAAGAGCGCCTGTCGCAACCTCATTAATACACGGCTACATCGGGTATAATGCTCACGTACTAGCGTCACCATCTTCGGCCGCATGCATGGCGAGTTCCAGAGTGCGACTTGAGTCGTCGGTAGAAGTGCTTGTCGACATGAAATGCACGACTGGCTCGTTTTAAACCCGCATTCGGCGCCGGATAGCCTCTACTCGCCGCTTGATCTCACGCACCCCGCACGGCCGTGTAGCAGTGCGACCCACAGCAAGGGTTCAAATCCGACAAGCCATCACCTGTACATCGCATTCGTCCCGGGAATGCTGGTGACGCCAAGTCCCAATGTCGTACGGGAGGCAACAATTGTGGAGATACCGTCGGCTATGAAACGGGAAGATGTCGTACGAGATGCCTAGGCGCAATGAGCGATGCGAGATACGGAATAGTTCACGAGTCTACGCACCCTCCTGAAGGGCGTCATTGGAGGAGCCTTTGATGTGAACTCCGCACATCATACTTCTGCGAGAATGCATGCTCTTATCGCCACGTTCAAGAAGCGCAGAGTGCCGTGGGTTAAGAATTGTCCACATCCAGGCTCTTCGACGGACCTCCGTTCACCCATCAATGCGCATTCCTCTCGGACCTTAGTCCTGAAGTGTTTCCATAGCGGCCCGAGAAGCGGGGTAGAATTCATGATGGCGGCTCTTGAGCAACGTGTGCTGGAATATCCTGCCCCTGTTCAGCTCGCGGGCGAGGAGCGGGTACTGATGGACTGGAGACTCACCGCCACTGCCAGTCGCAAACTTCGGCGCCTACGGCTATATAATGACATGCCAGCTCGGGACCGTGCGTAATTCGAGTTCGAGACGATGAAAGCACTCATAATACAGACGAAACGTTGGCCGCGGTTGACGGTGAGACTGGCATAGTCACGTCGTGAGCGAGTGTCAAGATACGTCTGTGCCAAGCTTGTTGCCCAACCCGCGCATCAACTTCTATTCGATTCTGTTCATGTTTGTCGCAAGCCGATAACTGCTAAGCCACGAACTGGACACAAAATGTACATACAGCTGACGCCTTCGTGGTGGACCATGGTATACTTGTATCGTTGAAAGTACGATGTATACCATTGATTAGAGCGAACGGGGGATCGAAATCATGATGGCTTGTCACTGATGTCTGCAAGTATAGCTCTAGGTGTACGTCATACGTCACAAAGATCTGCGTGAGCGGGATTATACGTGATGACATCCGTAGGCAGGTAGCTTTCGACGCTTGAACAAATGCCCCAAACGGGCACGAACAATTCGCGGGGCGTCATAGCCAAAGGCGTTAGTCGCACGGCGGACGGCGATGCAGAGACCGTGCTTTGACGGACAGCAGTAGAGACGCAGTGTATCCAAAGGCGTGAGAATACAGGAAAAGGTACAGAGATCAATGAATCACGTAAGCGAAGGAAGAGCGAGAGCTTCGGAACGGAGAGTGAGTGAAAGAAAGACATAACGTATATAGTTCCCGTTTGCATTCACAGAGTACAAGCCGGCAATGACACATGTTCGAACAGCAATGGGGGGGGGAGGGACCAACAGAACGTACTGAATAGGAGACGACTATACCGTACATAACAGGGTCTAGATGGCAGGTGCGAAAGGGAAAGCTACGATCACACGCTGAATAACGAGGAGCCACAGCTATTGAGCAAGCCATGTACCGGGCGACCTGCGTGGCCGTGTAACGCGACGCCATATAGCAACGTTAGACGGGAGGTATGCTTATCTTCGGCAGGTATGAGCTTCTTGCTCCGTCGAGCGCACGCGCGCCTAGCATCCTCCTCACGCGTAAGGCGCATACTCGATGGGTTCTTCTCCGGCACCGGCAATCCCGCGAACTTGTTCGGCAATCCTCCCAATAGACCCATCCTGAGGTGAGAGTACACGCTATGCGCCGCCGAGTGTACCGGGATCCTTGAAGAGTATCCTGCCAGCATCGGTAGCACTGCTACTCGTCTCGTCGTCCGAACCGAAATCTTCGCCTTGGCAGAAGGGATCGCGATCACGCTGAGGAGAAATGGATATCTGCGCGCGTCATGTCAGTCAGATGTAAGCATAAGAGAAAGTTATACACATACTGTGCGGTCCGCGCCAGCCTCGAGCCAAAGCTCATAGCAGTGACAGCCGTCTGACTGGCATCCACAGCGCCAATAGCAACATCGGGCGTCTGAACAACAGCAACTTGAACGGCGTAGTCAAGGCCGCCACTCTCACTCGCACCCGACGGCGGAATCGCACTGGGCCTGCACGGACCAACCGCACTTCCACACGGCGAGGTTCAAAGCGGACCAGCGCGGGCCTCCGGCGCCTGGACGCGTCGAGACGGGTGGGGAGGGAAGAGGGCCGGGTGACGAGGAGAGAGCCGACATTATTGATTTGCACGAGGGCGTGCTCATTGACCAAGCGCTGCGTGAAAGAGCGGATAGTGTACAGGGGAACGGGAGCCTCAGTGCCGGATTCGGAGGGTGGTGGAGAGCTCGCGATCGTTGGGGTTGGCTCTTGGGTTTTTGTCCATTGAAGGCATCGGATGACAAAATTGGCTGCATCCTGTGCAAATGAGACCGTATGAGCATAAGCGGTTAAGGGAGGAAGGCGCGACGTACGGTCATGACGCTCCCGCGCGCGGCGAACCAATGCAACATATCATCAAGCGCCCGCTCAGCGCTCAACGCTGGAAATCAGGCTCGCCGAACTCGAATGGCTTGATTCGGCCGATTCGGCCGATTCGGCCGATCATCGCACGGCGTTCTATGCAGCGAGATGAGTACCCCGAGCGTACGCGCAGTGGATATACGCACTGATTCTGAGCACGCGCACGACGTCGTCGATCGTGACACTGATCGCTCTCCCCGTCGCCAGTCTTGACGAGCCGCGCAACAATGCTGACTGTCGTTTGTTGTCTAAATCTATGGCAGCCATCAACACAACAACGTTCACTGCATCACCGGATAGACGCAGGACGGGCTTACCGCACGACCATGCCCTCCACCCTCCAATCCCAACACACGAGCGCCTTATTCGCACCGGTTGACACGAAGGTCGGCGAAGGCGCGGACACGGTTGGAGCTGTTGTAGCGGTGCAAGGGCGAGCAACTCTGAAGACAGCTGGACGCGTATATGTCCATGTTAGTCCCATGACATTCAGCAGGGCAGGAGAGGTGCTCACCCTACGTCGTGTGACCCGATAATGGACGCTACATCCGTAACAAAGAAGTATATAGACTTCTTGACTTGCAACACGCGCGTGCACGGACCCATCGTAACGTCCCAACACCTGGTACCCTCCACCGCATATTCTTAATAAACATACGTACCCACTAGACTCGTCGTAAATACCGCTGACAAGCCTTGAACCGCGTAGAGGTGGTGTGGTGACGAAGTTGGTGTGAACGGGTGACAAGCGGATACTTCTTGGGCAGAAAGTTGGCTTCGCGATAGCGCAGGCTGTGATCCTAATAAGCTCAACTCGGCTTTCATGGATGATTGTAGAGTGCGTACTAGCCCTCCGGGGTCTCAGGTGCACAAACGGGCACAGGAACCGACAATGTGATGCGTAGACAGCGTGCGCGCCATAGTGCGGGCATGTGGGACCGCCTGTTGCCATTTCTTCAATGCCTGTGGACGAGCCTGCCGGTTAGCGCACACTTGACAATAGAGCTCCGGTGGAGAGAAACGTACCGTCTCCGTGTACAACAGATCCCGCGCGTTGAGATGTTGAAGGCTGGCGGCGGAGGCGCCAAGCACTCTCGGGGGATGTTGCCAGGAAGAGCAGCTACAAGGGTATGTCAATCAGCGTGTATCGGTGAGCAGAATCATAATCTTACAGTCGAGAATGATCGCAATAAGCCTTGTGGGCTCTTCGCGAGTGAGCCCACGCACGGCTTGACGCACTGCGTATTCGCTCGACTCCCTGCAGCACATGTTAGAACATCCTGTACCATGAAGAGCGAAGAGATCACATACTCGTCCCGTCCTCTTACCACTACCAATAGATCGGTGCCTTCGCCGCCATCCTCGTCATCGTCTGCACAGTCGCCTCGGTAGCCGCAATGTTTGTTCCCGAGTCGATCTGCAGAGTGTTGGTGAATGGGGCGGCTGACGCACATAGAAGGCGGATCTGTAGAAGGTAATCAGTCACAGTCGCACAAGACATGGAAGGAAGAAGTACCTCGGCCTGCATGGCATGAAGCAGCCTCGTGCTGCTTGCCCACGCCCGCTCAAGTAGGCGTCAATGACGTAATAACGCTTGGGCATGCTGGTCCACAAGTTCGTCGGGTGCCGCTTGGAACTGAGAACATTGGGTGTCAGTCGACTAGGCTTCAACTCAACGCTTGGTTGAAATGTACCTCGACGCTGCCGCCGCCGCCCTCGCCCTCCTCCGCAGTCATCTCAAGCGTCATCCTGTCGACCTTCCCGTCGTCCTAGATGCTCCCATCCATGACCCGACTCTCGGCTGTTCAATGCGACTTGTGTCTTCCGCCAGGTGAACAATGCCGTCGACGACCCGGCCCATGGAACGGACAATTCGCCGACGCGCGTACGCGCGTACGCCGAAGTGGCCCGGCAGGCGGGTCGTGGATTACCGGCCGCAGCCAGGTAACGAGCTGCCGCTGTGTAGACTCCATCCCGCGCCCCGCGTACAACCTGAGCCACCCGGTGATGCGGCTGCTCGCCGCCGCGCGTATGTGTTACCGTCCGCTTCAAGGTAAACCGCTGTCGCCCGTGTAGAGTTCATCACGCGGCAGCGCGTACACCGTAGCTGCACGGTAACAGTCACAGGTCACTTCCCAATGACCCGCCGCCACCGCGCGTACAAAGACTGCAACGAACATGGGTCAGTGATTGGAAAGTTCGACGCACGATACAAACTCACGGCTACGTTCCCTGAACGACAGAATCCGGCGTTGACGGCCAAGGAAGAAGGCGCGATCCGTCCGTGCTTCTGGGACGCGGATCTCCTGTGCTGGCCATGCGCTACGGGCGATATGCCGCAAGCGGCGCGGCGTAGACACGACGCAAAGTTGAATGGGCACAGCCAGGGCCCCCACAGCGGCGAAAGTTCAGACGTCCAGGCCCCGAAGGGCCTATCAACCCGCAGGAAGGTAGACAAGCAGCCGCCGAGGCGAATATATAACGAGGGAGCGCGTCCGGTCGGCGCTCAGATCCATCCGCAGTGTGGCCTGCTGTGCATGTGCAGAGTAAGGGATGACATTCATAGAATCGGTCAAGGATGTGATTACCGTCGAGTGGCCCGGAGAGTAGGAAGTCGAGAGTAGACTCCGAGAAAATCTTGTCAATCGCGGTCTTGTAACACGCAGAGTCGGCAAGCCCTGGTGAATATGGTTCGGACGTCAGTATTGTGGCCCGGACCCAATCAACAGCCAGATATACTGACCTCCGGACTCTTCATTCGTCTCCGACGCGCGAGCCAGCCCAAGCTACGACAGCAGTCGCAGAGGCCGAAACGCAGCGAATGGCATCGAGATGCCAGCGGACGCGCCAGATAGGTCATGTTGAGGGTCGTCGTCGTCGTCGTGGTCGAGGACTAAGCCTTGCCTCGCGAACTCGAGCTTTCAACCTTCTCCGGCAATCCCCGGAGAAGCACAGCCGGCCGCCGCTTCCCCCACGATGGTGCTGGCCAATGGGAACTTTCCGCATACTGTTCAGCTTACTTTGACTGAACGATCAGGGACTGCGGAGGCTCCACGAGTATTTGCGATAGTCATCTTTGGCAACCCTCCCAAGCTATGCGAGAGAGCCCCAAGTATAACGTCCGTATGTCCGGAACGCGAGCATGCGTGAGGCGTCTGTCGCAAATGCGCTCGGGCTCAAGGGGGTGCCCTAAAGATAACACTTATCGAAGTGTCGCATGTATTCGCGAGAACAAGCCGGCGTGTCGCGGCTTCACGTAGTGCTTTGGCTTTCGAATCCCTACAAACCTGGGGACTTTGTCCCGGGACCCTCATGCGTGAAGTGTCTCGTGTCGAGACTATAAGATCCGAGTGTCCGCCGGAACTACACTCCAACGAGGACCGCGACCGTTGGAGCAGACGATGAGCGCCTAAAACACCGTGTGCGTAAGGTCTCTCATCCTGAATGTGCAGGCGAACTCAAGTCAAGCTAACACCGTTAGTTGGACCGGAAACGAGAATCCGCCCAAGGGACTGTTTCGAGTGCACATGAGACAATCACCTGGATTAATCAATGACGCCACACAACCAGTCATGTACAGTGACCTATCGGAGAAAGACCATTAGGGCCAAGGGGAACAACTTTCAGATTAAATTGATGTATTGTTCTAGCTACTCTCTGTACATACAAGGTGGTGCTCGAAATACTGTGTAGGGGTCATGGGATGCTGGGGTATGGGATGCTGGGGTATGGGATGCTGGGGTATGGGATGCTCGGGTATGGGATGCTGGGGTATGGGATGCTGGGGTATGCTAGGCAGAGGTATACAGTAGAGTGTGATGGCAAGGTATACAGCTCTGAGGTATGCAAAGCAGATACATATAGTAGAGCGAGATTCTTGGGCACGTGAGGAGCGACAATATGCGGATGTCTGGTCATCTGTGTGATAGGTCGTATCGGGTCCAGTGTGAAGTTGAAACCGTAATGTCCATGCCAGAGAGGCAGAAGGCCGAAGTGATGACATCTCGGGAAGGCTCTGAGCAGGGGCGATTCAAGAAAGGAAGATGAGAAGTACAAGTAACGGATGGTCAGCGCGAAAGATAAGGTGGGCCGAACAATGTCTATGGGCGGATATACAATGAATTTCCCTTTCATCCAAGAAAATGTCAAGAAATGCGACGGTGCGATGTGGGCGATCAAGCAACAAGGAACGTTGTCTCCCACTCACCGCGCCTTCAGTACGACCACAAACCTGTGTCAACGATTTCGCAGGCTGAGCCGTAACATGCCTCCTCGTGGCCTACGCAGCCTACACATTCGCCTGAGAGGTCGCGCTGGGTTGCAAACGCACGTGGACCTGCCGTGAGAACTCAGCAAACGAGTGTATGTGATAATGACCACTCACCTTCGAAGCCGCCCGACGCCTGGCCGGGTTGCGGTGCACGGGCTCTGGATACGCTATGACATCCGCCTGATGAGGCGACTAAGTATCAGAGTACCAAGACAATGCATTCACTAACCTCATGCGTCGCCGTGAAGGGTGTGTTCAAAAACTCCGTGCGATCCGTCGAAGGCGCACGTGTGTTGTCCTAGTATATATTGATGAGTTCAAGCGCGAATGCACATAGAACAGCTCACCGTATTCACAGCGGTGGCGGACGGATAAGCATTTGCACGCTTCGCGGCTATTGGGAGCTCCGTGTTGTCGATGGCACAGGAAGTGTCCCTACGATCTTCGATCCCTGAAGGAGGGACGGGTGGTGGAGATAGAGAGGCCAGACATTCGTACGCAACGCGCTCAATGGACGGTTGGAAAATGAGCGGGGGCAGGGTGGGGGCTTGAGTCGATACAGGCGTGACCGACCCGAAGGACGTGGCGCGTGAGCGCGTGGAGTCGATGATAGCAACCCCGGCCTGTAACTCCTGATCGGAGACGTGGGACGCGGTAGTGAGTGCGGGAGATGGGGATCGCTCGACGATAACACTGAAGGGCGTAGGCGCGGACGACACATTGCAAGAGCTCGCGGTGCCTGGGTTGATGAGTTGGAATTGGGGAACGGACTTGTGCGGGGGAAGGGCGCGCGTGAGATCAGGCGAAGGTGGCGGTTGCTGATCCACAAGAAGAGTTGCGGGGTGGATGTGGCCGCGAACGACCTCCTCGTAATACGGTACGTCGACATCTTGAAGCAGCCCACGCCGATGTTGCCCAGAGAGAAAAGAGCATTCTGTGGGCACGTCGTCATCGAACGATCAGTCTAGAGTAGCCCGCCACGTACCGCACTGGCGCGAGCGACTGGCGCAACGAAAGTCTACCGGTCGCAAGTCACCTTCAGTTATCCTATCATGGATCGAAAGAACGCACACGCGTCCATTGATAAGGTAGCGATGTTGGCGACTGACGATGGTGGTGGGAGGAGGAAACCAAGGACACCGCGCGAGCGCATGTTTATGAACAAGCGTCTATCGACGCGGCATCGACTCGCCGCGTGGGACCATCGATGGATGAGGCGTGCCCAAGTCTCTTTCCCCCATCCTCGCCATGCCCAACGTTTACGAACATTAGCACATACGACGGCTCATGGACGCGTTGCCAACCGATAGTAACGATGGCAGTCGTAGGAGAAGTGCGCAATAGACAGGGAAGCCAGAATTCGTGAGTGACCAACAAAAATAGAGGCGGAGGGGAGGGGCACCAAGACGTCGCAAGCCGCGTCTGTTTAAGTAGGAATTCCTAATCTCACGTGAGAACGTGTTGAACCGCCCCGGCGTGTGACATCAACGTAGGCCACACAAATCGGCATCCGCGTCGGGATTCGCCGTCGGCAAGCGCCGGTGGAACCGGCCCGAGACGCGATCACGTGAGGAGACGCGAATGGCGCGTCTCAAGGGGCGGGTACAGCGATCCACCGTCAGGCCGCACACCACCGTCAGCTCGCACACCGTGACGATGGCCGTTGATCGTACAGCTTTCGTGCTACCCCTCCCATCAAGCGGCGCAGGAGTGTTGTACTGAACTAAGGACGAGCAGCGTTCACACCGTATCCATATAACGTATACATACTGTGTGACCACGGTGTGCGGTTTGGCGGGTGGCGTTCTCACGCCGCACGTGGCCCATCAAATAGGCGTATCCGTACGTTCAGACCGCTGCTCTCCCAAACGTATAGGGCGCTGCATGCGTCATGGTTGATACAATGCACATCAAAAATTAGCAAGTGGGTACAGACGAAGAGCGACCGCGAGAGCCGAAAAGCTCTTCGGTGTGCGGTCTGACGGTGGATCGCTGTATTGAGCGAACAAGCAACATTCAGACCCATTTTGATGTATGCGCACTGAGGGATGCGTACGAGGAGAGGGGTGAAAGATAAACGAAGAATACCAATTGTGAGTAGGAGGACATGACTATTACTTACAGAGCTTGGCGTTGTCTCCCGTTTCGAACCTTCTTGCATTTCTTTATACACAAGACCATTCCATCTTTCCCAGATCAAGCGGTCGCGTTCCAACGCCCTCCCCATGCTTCTAGTTCGCCAACAACGGATCTGCTCGACCCTCAGCCACTCCTGTCTACACACCAGACCTTGATATCGTCCCGCCGCGCGTGTATGGCCATCCGCTCCAAGTCAAGAGGGGTTGAGTGCCGAGGGCCAAAAAGTCGAACCCATAAGACGCGAGTGGCGTACCGGTACACAGGCAAGTGGGCGCGAGGTAGGAGGAGGCGACATTCAGCCCCTCTCGGATCAGACACAGAAGCGAGCCGTAAGAGTATAACGGCGCCTTGCGCTTGAGCACGCGTGCCGATAGGATACTGGAAGAGCGCTCGAGATCTATATTCGAGCAGATGTCAGTTTTCGGATAGTCGCCCAACGCGTTCGTCGCACCTCTGCACTCAGTCGCCAGGAATGAACGCCGTGTCGAATGCAACGCTGTGCGCGCATGTAGAGAGGCGGCGGGGTCGGAGGATGCTCTGCCGGGATACAGCCTCGGCCGCGTCAAAATATGGCCACCGACTTGCCCTACATACGCGCTTCAGTATCAAGACATGGCACCACAGGTGATACACGAACACGACCATGATATAGTGTCACAGATGCGCACAATTACCCCTCATTCTTCAGGGTGAGTGGTAGTACAGGGAGATATGGACCCGTGAGTATCCGTTTCACTCCGTATGAAGTATTCCGGCCAGTTGCAGAGATAAAAGTGAGTACCGGACGTCTATAACGACCAAGAGTGGTCGCTGCCATATATTATCGCAGTCAGACGCATGATGGACGTTGGGAACAACCAGAACCGGCATTGATGCCAATCAACGGCGGAACGGGCCGCGCTCCCCGGACATGATGTGATATACTGCGAGCCGCAGCCACCTCGACTTATCCCGACCTCCCAGGACGTCCGCCCTTGGCGGGCTTGCCACCATATGCTTAAATCATGATGGACCGCCCATAATCCTCCCGATCGTGTGATGACGATAGTCGAGAAGGGGAGCAGCGCGTGCTGAGGTCAAGCGCACCTCAAGAGCGTCGAACGGCGTGTCGGCGGTGTGCGAAACCCTCGGGTTCTCAGAACTGCCTGATACGACTACTTATCAGTGGGCGTATACTCTGGAACAGTGGAACATTGTGTCTCGGGCTCAATTGTGTGAGGAATGGAATGATGCCTGGTGCAGTGGCCCCTGCAGCTTGGGTAGTCGAAGGTGCGAAACGCGCCTGTTGTATATGATGCCATATTGATATCACCCTCCCAGTACAACTGAGGCTAGAGCCTCCCTCTCTCCCCTTCAGCGCCGCCTACTCTAACACATCTTCATCCTGGCTGTTCACCGAGCGCTACAACCGCTCTACATACGCGAGTTGAATGGCGTTAGCTGAGCTAACGCCAATCCAGAGATGGAGCGAGTACGGCTTCAGTATAGCACAGATTCGCCGCAGCGCTACAAGGAATTTGATAGGGCCCGGATGCAACACACATTGCAGGGCCAGGCGCTATCATCGATCAAGCTCTTTGGCGAAGGCTGTTATGTAGGAACCTTCGCTTACACCGGTATCGCTGAAAGAGCATTGGGGCTATTCACGGCGTCTATCATCAGGCTCAATCATCGTCATCAGAAGGCCACTTTGGTACCGTGCTCAGTGAAACCCTCACGTTCCAAACCCATTCTGCGTCACTCGTATAGCTGGAATATCGAGTGAGTACTTACTGTATCTCTCCTTGCGGTATGTAGTTCTCCTTCTCACCAGTGCTCTATAGGAATAGAGGTATACAACTCGTCGCGCGCGGCACATTCTATCATGAGCAGGACGAACCGGCGATGTTGTTTTGCGTGAGAGGGTGATCCCCCGCGCAGCCGTTCCAGGGCTGCGCGCTGGCGAGATGCACTTAGGGCGCTGGCTATGATGAGCCCTGAACGGACGGTGCACATCCATCAAACGGTTGGCTCTTTTCGTTACTCAACCAATATGATCTGCATGTCAATATTCTAGGGTCTACGTGGCCTTACGGCCGTTCACGCCGCGAAATATGCCATACGGGGAAAGCATACTGCGCCGTACGCTGTACTACTTGCCGTGTCGGAACCTTCAAGTCGAGGATGATCCTATATAAGTTCATGGCGCTGTGGCATACACGATGCCATCGGGACTATGAATTCTACTACTTGCAACGCAAGGCTTCAGACAGCACTCGCTCTTACTCGTCGCGTTTCCGATCGGCGACTCTTCCCTCTCCTTCTCGAGACCATCTTGACAAGTGAGCATGCTCTTGTCGTCATTTCACCGCGAGGGAACAAAACCTGACCCGCCGTCAACCCAGCGATCTTCACTGTTGCGCTCGTCTGCTTCGTTTGTCAACGATGGTCGTCCAAGTCAAAATCTTCGAGGTTGACGCTGTTCTTCGCGGTACTGATGTATGCATTGGCGGTCGTCTTATGGGCTCTTAACGTCCGCATCTTGAGCGAGTATATGTACCCGACCATGGCTTGGGAGTTGTCACCCACGAAAGATCGCGCTCAAGAGGAGGTGTTGCTGGATGTGCTCAACCAAGCGCAAACCGCACAAAACGTCATTACACAGGCCATCGTACGTTCGCCCTCTTGGTACAAGTCGGTCATTACATCTCATCGTCTTTCCCACTTCGACAGTATGTGGTGACCGATGTCATTACACTCTGGCGAGTGTACGTCGTCTTCCAAAAGCCGAAGTGGCTCCTGGCCTTGCTTGTTTTCACCGGTCTTGTTGAAACCGGTTGGTGCTTAGGATCGTTGCCCGCGTCTCGTTGGACTGATGTCTCTCTCTTCAGGCTTCTCAATTAGCGTCATCTATCTCGCCTCAACGACCACTCCAGCATCGAGTGCACACCAGCAAAACGTATACCGGGCTTCATACCTGACAGCCGGCGTCTCTACTACGGTCTGTCAGGCCTTCTCTTCAGGGATGATTGGATACAAAGCTTGGTTCGTCCTTTTGCTGCCGGACTGACGTCATCATTTCAGCTAATCTATGCTAAAGTCGCACTGGCGGGAGATCAAGGAGTTCATCAATGCCTCTGCCTCTCGGCGTCTCGTTCCCATGCTACTTCTCATCGTCGAGATCGGCGCAGTGTACTCTGCTCTTTGTGTAAGTACTCTGACGATCATCCTCGTTGAGATGGCTGTCTGATCAAGCCGCTATCTCAGATCTGGTTCAACCTCATCTGGGCCTACAACTCATCTTGGAATGAAACCGCTTTCTATTGGTCGGGTTTCTGTATGGTGACCCTGGCGGTCAGTACTCGCCCTATCTGGCTGTATGCTAGGATGCTGATCACGACACGCAGGCCATGTACCCGACACTTGTCATCATGCTCGTCGCTGCTCACGGTTCCGTCGTCGAACGGAGCTTCCAGCTCCCGTCCAGGGCAAGTGCCATGGAGATTGATGGTCCAGTCATTGCGACAATTATAGATCGCGAGCCTGTGATCATGCCATCTTCGCACCCTTTCTCCGAACGCCGGGACGACAAGAAGCTGAACGCCACGCTTTCCGCTGGTGAGAAGGCGGGAGATAGGGAAACAGTGGTGGAGATGTCTTTCTCATGAGCTGAGGGTGATGTAGCGCGAAGTGTCTCGATGGTATAAGCACCAGTATACGGAGACCGGAAGACAACTGCGGCGTGATGTATGTACTGGTATAGACTAATGTACTTTGTGAGGCGCATACAAGTCAGGCAAGCGGGACTGTGCCCTAAACAAACGGTTATAAGTCCAATAGCATCGAAGCGGCACATTCCTCCTCAAGCCAATGCGCGAGCTGTACGGAGTCCCGCGGCATGAGACGCATGCCCGTGGCCCGAGGCATAGTTTGTGCTGCGCACTCGAAAGTCTGGTCCGTGATGGGGTCCATCTTGCTGCTGGCATCTGTGCCGTGGGCGCGATACGCGGGGAAGACCATCTTGCGACCTTTGGCGTCGAGCTCGGCGCGCTCGAGTTTGAAGAAGTGCAGAAGAAGGATGATCATGCCGTAAAGTGTCTTGTCTGCATCTGAGAGAGGTTAAGATATAAGCATGTACTACCATGTAGACGACACGAAACACACACAAGGAACACCGAGATACTGCCTCCTCCCTATACCGTGGTTCAAGTGCGGTGGGCCAATCCTAGTATCTTTCTGACCAACACGGCCGTAGTGTCCAGCGCATCATCGTTCAGGGAGGAACTCGTCCGGACGGTCGTACCGCGCAGGATCTCGGTTGATGGAGAACGTATTGTGCATGACGATGGTGCCCCGCGGTATAAGCACGCCGTTCACTTCGACGTCCTCGATAGTCTCGCGTGGGAATCCAAGAGTGATGCTTGCGAAGTAGCGACCCGCCTTCGTAACAAGCGCTGAGATGTACTCGACGCGTCCCGTGTCTAGAGGGTCCGGATCCGCATCACCGTATTCAGCCCTGATCGCCGTATGCGCGGCAGCCTGGAGGTCCGGACGCGATGCAAGGAGCCCGACGAGCCAAAGTACGAGTGCCCCAACTCCCGTGCCCGAAGTCATCAGCGACAGTGCGATCTTGTACTCGTCCGCCGAAGTAAGGGGTCCATTTCCAAAGCGCAGAACATCGCCCAATTGACTAGGCGTCGCGTCTCCCGCCCGTATACGCGCATGGAGGTCCTCCTTCAGACGAGCGGCATATCCTATCTCCACTTCTCTTATCGACTTGCTTGCTTCGTCGCAACGCCTGGTATCGTCAAGAGACTCCATAAGGTGAAACGTCTTGAGGACCCCGTGAACAGGTCGGAGCATCTGATGCGCGAAATCTAACAACGGTATCGCTGCGCGTAGAGGCTGACCGATGCTACGCGGCCCTCGGAAGATCTCGAGTTCGGTATGCGCCAGTTCCAGTGCATCAGCCTCATTCACAAACGTCCCGAAACACATATCCAGGCTGGTCCCCACTGTCGTCGTCCAAACGGCATGACCAAGATCGCACGGCCCCTTGGCAATGTTGGAGGCGAGTAGGATGACGAAACGGTGAAGGCGACGCGCTACGTAGTGATCGTAGCGTCGGTGTCTGTTGCCCGTGATTTGCAGCCCGAGATGTCTGCGATGTCTTGTGAGGTGATGGGTTCACGGAGATGCTAAGGTATACGACGTCAGCCCTCCACGCTATATCCTTATATACAGAAGCACGTACTGCCGAGTGACGTGGGAATACCGCCATGGCCCATGCCTGGAGTTGTCGAGAATCCGTGATACTGTTGCGTCTCTGGACGACTTTGAAAGGCTCGGCCGCGAGAGACCAGCGTACGCTGGACTGCATCTCGGGTGTTCAGAATGACCTAACAAGCACTTAGTGACACAATCAAAAGCAAGGGGTAGAGAGTAGGCCTTTACAACTTCTCGGTCGCCAATGACGATGCGGACGAAAGGGCCAAATCTCCAGGCCCACTTTGAAACAGTTCTCGCATGTCTGTGTTGAAGCTGCGCATGTCATCATCCCGAGACTCTCATTTCACAGGGTGATGGACATACCTCCAAGAGATTTCCGAAGAATGGGAGCGCCGGGGGACCCGGGAAGTGGATCATATGGGGAGCAAGCCCAATGCATCGAAGACCTTGTCGTTCCAAGAGACGGAGAAGAATCAAAGTGCAGACAACAGCAAACATGACATTCGCTGCGATAGACGCCATATGCTCCTTCCTAGGCAACAGTTCTGTAAGATGGCCAAGGCCCGTTCGGACGACTGCAGGGGATATGAATCTTCGTCTTGATTGCTCGCGAGAAGGAAACAAGACAAGGTGTCAGCAATGGTAACGAGTTGTGGAGCATCTTATAGCCGGCAACTGCCAGAGTAGAGAGGCGTCTTCTCTGGATGGGAGACTGTTTGCACACGCTAGTCAGCAGACATCTCTGCGGCGTGCCCATGAGGTGGCAAAGACCTCCCCTCTTGCGAAGCGAGAATGTGCGAGCGGGTCAGAAGAAACTCAGGATGCGCGCCTCGCGCAGCGTCGCGCTGGATGCAAACCGCTAGGGCCTATGAATGATCTTGATCGAAAGGCGTTAAGTGTTTCACAAGATCCCAGAAGTCCGAGTATATCTAGCCAGTATCAGGTCAGATCGACACACACAAGTAGATGGTGGGCGCACAGAACCGACTCGTTTAGCTCTGGAATCAACGATCAGCGCCCTCACATTGGCCTATCTCCACATTACAACCTCTCTCGGCGATGGCGCGCAGGGTCATGCGTCGCTATGTGGGAAGACTGGCGACTAGAATGCCCATCCGATCTTGCCGAGGCTCTATGTGTCTTGCATAGACTCTTATATGTCACCGTGACAGACGCAGAGCATCAGAGTAGCTTGGGTGAAAGACATAGATAGGCGCGACGCGTCTTAGGACTCGCTAATAGCTGGCCAGACGATGGTGGTTCGGGACAGCTCCGCCTCCAACCCCGCATTCTGAGCTCTGGCTTGGGTCCGGCCCGATTGTGCCGGTCCGGGCGTGCGTGTACACGGCGCGGGAGAAGACGCTTGGTGCTGGTTCCCGACCACCATGCGCTGTATGTACTAAGCCAATGCGACGGACGTTTGAATGACATATCCTCGGTCGCTCTATCTATGTGAGGACTTATAGCGGCTCCTGTCGCGCTTGGACTCAGGCTTCACGCGTGGGCAAACGCCTTCGCCTCCAGTACGGTCGGGATATGTGGGCGAATCCCGGAATGGCAAGAGGGTCACTCAACCTGCCTTCTGCCGTGCATGGATAGGCTTGTCTAGGCGATCATGATTCCAAGGAGCATCGAAAACTGGCCGCCTTCGTGGTGCGTAAACGACTTCGGGATGATCGAGGACTCGTACTGAAAGAACTTAAGATACAGACGAGCCTCCAGTCATTTCGTTGCAACATCCTCATTCGGCGTGGGCGCGTATGCGTCTCCGATATCTCTCTTCCTGCCCTTCTGCACGAGCGACCTTATGGCGCATGGTGTGCGCTACAGCAACGATCTCGCCGTCACCCAACGGAGTTTGGCCGGACCGTCATTGACATCCATTCCATGGACAATACTAAGTTATATACGCGCGCTCTTATCGATCGCCAGTCCCTCTAAGTGCTCCTTTCTGTGTAATGAACAAGAGACCGTGTTGCATCACGATCAATGCAACGCGACACATTCGTCTTCCCTCCCGCTCAAAGTACCCCGTGACTTGACACCCGGTTCTCACTTTGGGTCCGCGCAGACACCGTACGTGCCCAAAGCGGCCACCCCCTCGACGAGAGAGGCGCGCGCGGGAAAGCTGTCAAGGCGCAATCACATTAGTTCACCCGGACCCACCATCGAGAATCCAAAGCATGGACATACCCCATCTCGACGTCAAATGACAACGTCTCATGCGACGACTCGCCGACATCCGCAGAGAGATCGGTAGAAGTTGTGGACGAAACTCCTCGCACAACAGCGCGTGAGCTACGCCTCTACTTGAACTGCCTGGCAATCATTTCGACTAAGCGCGTGCCTCCACAGTCAGGCCGAAAAGGCCGAATATCGCGAACGCCGAAGTCGGAGACGCCCAGAACGTGATGTATTGCAGAGCGACGGCATAACTCCCGATGGCCTGTAGCTCCGAGTACGGTACGCTGAGCGGTTCCCAGTAGTCGTGCACGACGCTCCAGCCGGGGTAGAAGAGAAAGGCTCCGACGTCCAACAGCTCCTTAACGTTCAACACGAGGCTCGCGATGCCGATCGGTAATGTGAACAGTATGTCGATGCTGGCGAGCGCGAGGATGCGGAGATGGTTCTTGCGTGTGCCCGGGCCCTCGGCGGGTAAAAACTGATTGCTGTCCCTATACTGCAGGAAGAATACGCGCGCTACTCTCGCTGCTCGGCGCTCGCGCGTCAGTGTTGTAGCATGTATGCTTGTGGAGCATGTGCGACGTACGGTAGTAGATGGTGACGGATAGAAGAGGCGGGATGATGTTCCATGATTGGAGGATCAACATGTCGAGGATCTAGCTGTCTCGGGCATTCCCGCATCCGAATGCTCGACCACCTGGAATCGGGCGATCTGCTCTACGTAGTCTAGATTAGGCGTCAGTCATTAGCTCTGACGGCTACAAGACGTCAGAAGCTTACATAGAGGGCCTGCGACGAGCAGAGGAATGACCAGACCCAGTGTCCATTCTATGAGAAGAGCTTTCCTGTCCTAGTGTGGGGTCTGATAAGTGTTACGGAGATGATCAGAATACAAAAGGTAGCTTACCGTTCCATTGCTACCTTGACTCGTCGACTGAAGGCTCGCAACCATATCGAGCCGGCGGGTGATTATGAGAGTTGCCATGGGTTTGACAACATAGGCGATTGCTTGCGTGTGAGTTACTTCAAATCTCTTAGCAAAGTACTCCATCCATCAAATGTAGCGCTTACCGATATCGCAATACACGTATAACTTGATATCGGCATTGTCAGACCAGATTATCATGTTTATGGCAGTGGTGATGTTGTCGACGAAAAGCCAGAAGCACAGGAACGTTTTCCCGAGATTCCAGCTTCGCTGCATGAAGCTGGTCAAGAGCACGAAAAGGAGCAGCATAGCGGATAAAAGGAATGCGATGGGTAGAGTAGGGAAGCTCGGGTCGACAGCAGCCATGTCACACCGAGCGCTTCGATGTCGTCGTTGAGTTGGACTGGTGCAGGAACATGAGCGTCTTATATATCGAGCCGATTGTGAAAGATTGTACTCATCTTAGATGTCATGTGACATAGCAGAGGGAAGTCGTCTCCACCCATGATCGTTGCCTCTCAGAGACGTAGACTCTCAGCGAACATGCGGTAGCCCGCTATGCAGCCGCATGTGCACTTGTTCGGA